GGGGACTACAAGTACCTGGAAAGCAAGCTCTATGGCGTTCGCCATGATCCGAGTCTCTATGGAACAGCCTCCTCATGATCCTAGTCTCTATGGAACAGCCTCCTCAAGCACCACCAGAAGCCGCCGCTTTCCAGGGGCTTCGCTGGTGAGCAGCGGATTCAAAGGCATCTCGGCGGCTTGGACTGTCGTCTTCATCATTCTTCCTCATAACATGAAAGGTTATGGTTATAATATACCGAACCGAAACTACAACTACATAAAATCGCGTACACATGCAGATATACAGAATACGACTACGTAACATACGGCAGCCGTACCGTTATCCTCGTAAATGAGCATGACGGTGTCGAATCTCTGAACTGTTAAGTTGCTCCTGATATCTTATAAGTATAACGCCGCCTACAGATTCAGTAGCAAAAGCTTCTCCACCGGGTCGCATTGTCCCCTCATCCTGTCCTTTCGCCATCCTGCATTTAAATACTCGTTGCCTTTGATTTCTGTCTTTGCAGCTCCAGCCTGCTCCATGGAGTTTGTAAGCTTGTTCCGTAAGCTTGTTGCTAACGTATCCACAAAGCTCCTGCTCTGCTACTGGCTTAAACCGCACAGATGAAACCCTTTACTTAAGTACTGCGAGAGAGTCGTTGCTAATCGTGAACAGGCATATTGATACCTTACCGAGCGCCCTTGTATGCCCTTGTTTGGAATGAGCTGCTCAGCAATAAACATGCACGCAATAGGGTATACATTGGCGCATGTCTGTCTGCGACTTGTACCTTCAAGTAAACCATCTGGGCTCTCCGACGTCCTCACGTATGGCGAAGTCCTTGCCACAAAGGTCGGCATCCATGGGCACATCACGACCTTAGACGTATAGTCACTATGATGCTAGCAGCCACAACCTGAATAGCAGTCATCTTACTGTAAACCTTTCACAGCTGCGGTTCTTTGGTGTCGCTCCACTCCTGGCCGACATGTGTTCAACAGTCAAGCCAATTCAAAGCGATGCATGTCAAAATCGGGCTCTTAAAACTTAAAACCCATTTAACAGAAGAATTTGTGAGACAAAGACCCAGCTGCCTGTCTAACAGAAGATCATACCGAGAAAGAGACTCTGTGTAGCGGAAGATCCCGTATGCCCATATACATGGACATGCCAAAACCCAGCAGGGGATACGAAGACAACGATCCCTGCCCGCGTCCTAGAACCCTCAAATCCTCAAGCCAACTCGTAAAGACTCACAGCATATTCTTTGCAATTGTATTGTGGAGGCCTACAGCATTTTCTAGTTTCCGAGAGCAATATACACACGTACATATATACCTACCCACCTGCATACATACATACATACATACATACATGCGTACATACATGCATCTCTATCTGCTTATGTATGTACATATATATATATATATAGACAGGTAGATGTAGATTTGGATACTCGTACTCTGTAGCATTAGAGAAAAGGTGCAGATCCCTGCTCTCAGGTCGAGTGACGGAGCGTGACGTCGGAGAGCTCGAAGATACCCCGAGACTGCAACAGGGCTTCGGCTGCAAGGACGGCTTAGAGTTTAGGGTTTAGGGCTTTAGGGTTAAAAGATCCGGGCTTGTAGTTTAGGTCTTCGGGCTTTGCCGGAGCGAGGGCTTAGAGTTTAGGGTTTAGCTGTCTAGGGTTTTTTTGATAAGTGCAATAACCCTTTCTCCGATCGCTGTCTAGGGTTTAGAGTCTAGAGTTTCGTGCTCAGAGATCCGGGCTTAAGGTCTACTTGGGATCTCTGAAGGCTTCTGGAAGGCAGGTTCGAGAGGGGACGGCGAAGGGCGCTTGGGACGAAGCCAATGCAAGGCTCTGAGGCAAACTCTGCTGCAACCAACAGTGGTAGTAATGATTATGGGGTTCGGGTTTAAGGTTTAGGGTTTAGGATTAGGGTTTATGGTTATGATTACTGTTATTGTTGTTCTGATGATGATTGTGAATGTTGTTGTTGCTACTGTTATCCTCCTACGTTCACATCTTGCAGGTTTATTGTTCAAACTCGACCAAAATTCGGCGCTGCTTGTTCTGCCAGGTTGGACATAGTGCGCTTTGGCCACAACTTCCAAGTTGCTTGCACCAAAAAACCCTCCAACATTTAGGTGATTTGAGCAAGTTTGGAATTCTCCGGAAATCTCAGAAGACCCCCCACGGGTCCACTCGGAAAGTCTTCCCCGAGCAACTCCTTCCAGGAAAATTCGGCTGCCGACCCCTGCCTGGAGTCACAGGTTGTGATTGCGATGCAAAATAGAATAGAACAGATACCGCAAAACACCTCCTGCATATGTTGCTCCCGAGCCTCAAACTGAGTCCCGGGGGCGATGAGTGACTCGTGCAATGCCTGAACAAGCAGCGCTAAGGAGGTGCAAACCCAAGAACGATGCTGGTTTCCATAACCCTAACGCTGAGCCACATGGGTCATGTCGAATCACTGCACCCCCTACCCCTCTACCCGATATCCTGAACCTTCAACCCAGAAGCACTGTGAAACCCTAGTACTATAGGACTATAGGACCAGTACCCTTCGCAAGACCCTGCACAAAGGAAGCTCAAGCCAGTCAGGAACACCAAACCGTCATGAAACTTGCAGGGAAACCCTAAGCATATAAGCATAGCTTTCCTCAAACCAATAAGGGGTCGACTGGGCTCTGGTCCTCACCAGCGAGCCAGGAGTATTCGTGGATCCTGGCACGGCTTCCCTCTTGCGGTGAAGTTGAAGGTTTAGGACTTGGAGCTCGAGGTTTCGCGACAGCTTTGGGGCTTAGGATTCCCAAGCTCGGAAGGTGCTAGGGTTGTGAAACTCGAAGCTAGGGCCCTCCATGCCTGCTGCATGCTGCAGTTCAAGTACTCCACTGAACCACAAGTCCCATGCATCCGAAACCCTCCCTCGTCTTCAGCCCTCCCTGGTGACTTCTGGTCGCTGCCGGAAGCCCGAAGAACAGAAACCCTAAACCCGAAACCAAACAAACCCTAAACCCTAAACCCTAAACTCTAAACCCTAAACCCGAAACCCTAAACCCTCGGACTCGACACGAAGAGGGCCTCCTGGCTGTGAGGCAGTGGATCTTGAAGACCAAGGCCTGGCAGGCTCGGAGAGCTCTTGGGATTTCCTGACCTTTGGGTAGTAGGGAGTGGAAGAATGGTGGTAGTAGTAGTAGTAGTAGTAGTAGTAGTAGTAGTAGTAGAAGTAATAGTAGTAGTAATAGTAGTTCTATTTGTACCACATTCCTCCATTCCCTACTAACTAAAGGGAAGTTTCGGGGCTTTGGGCTTTGCGACTTCTCGGATCATGGAGCAATGGCTGCTCAAAGGCAGGATTCTCTTAGCAGAGCTGATGCAGTCTTGGTCTGGCACGGCATCGCTCCAGTCGTCAAGATATGCCTGAGGGCCAGTCTGAGTCATCAAGACGGTCTTCAACTGGCAACTGGGGTTCTCAAAGCACACAAAGGTCCGCGAGATTGTGCCATCGACTGACTAAGCACGCGGCTGCTGCAACTCGCCGATCGCGTGTGCCGAAGCCTGTCTCACCAATGCAAACCCAGCCACTGAAGACGGAGACATGCTTCGGCAAACTGCCCACACCACCTTACACGAGTCCTGGGCAGTAACTACAGTGCCAATTGCGGTACTACGAACATTCCTAGAAAACACCCCATCTCAAAGGCTAAAACCTAACACACCGTCCAGACACATCACAGGTAAGCACATGCGAATCTCATTGGTGCATGTATGGTAAGTATCTAGTTATGTCTGCATAGGTTCAAGAAGGTACGCATCTAGATTTTCAGTTCATGTACAGCGTGCAGGCCTGCTTATCCATATGTATGTATGTACGTACTTAAGTAAGCAAGTAAGCATGTATGCATGTATACGCACACAGAAAGATGACCACATACACAGGAAACCCCAAAACACAAAACCCTGCACTCTCTCAAACCTTAAAGCATCAAGCCGAAACCGTGAACCCACCCCAACCATGCAACGAAAATCCGCAACGCGAAGCAATCTGTGCCCTTCTGCGCCCAGCTGCAGGGACAAGCCCAGCTGACGGGTCGTCGCGGCGCAAAAAGCTCGAGCTGGGACCTATCGGTTGAGCCCATCCTAGTAGTTGGGCAGAAATCCACGTTATTGTTATAATTACGATGATTACGACTATGAGTATTATTACGATAATTGCTATTAATACGATTAGTACTATTCTACTACAATGGAGACTATAGGTATAGACCTGGTCCTACAGTGGGTACTATTGATTAGTATTGTATATACTTGTATACTTGGAGTCCTTCAGGAACCTTTATAGACAAGATAGCTGTTTAAGAGGTCTGTATTACTGTTATATTAAGTGGGGTGGGCCTTTCGCTCGCCCGCTTGGGCCCGTCCGTTGTAGGATGTGCGTTCAATCAGAAAATCAGGGTTTCGGGGCTTGGGGTTTAGGTTCGGGTGTTTGGCAGGAGTTACGGTGGGGCTGAAACTTGCCTTATGTGCCTATATTTCGGCTTCCGCCTGTTGAGCTCCCGGAAATCAAGATGCGATCAATATGAGTTCTAGCAGAAGAAGTGAGCACGAGAGCTTTTTCTCGATGCATGTCGTGGCTGAGATCCTGTACTACCCCAGCACTCACACGCAAGAAGGGCCGTGGCATCAGGGCTACAGATTTTAGCGCCCTGGGGGGATGGCTACATCTCTTTCCAGTGCACATGGTGGCACAGAAAGTCGTGCAGACCATCGGATGTTGAGCAATCTGTGCTGCGATGGGACTACTTGACATCTCCAGGAACCACCAAAAACATCTGCAACGCCGCTGAGATATACGAGAGCCTAGTCGTAGCTTTCTTTGTCCATTCCTCAATGGAGATTTCAACTCTCTTCGCCTTTCCGGGGCACTCTAATAGTCTCTTGAAGCATGCGCTATCCGATTGGAGGTCTGCTTCTTGCAATGGCTCGAATTCTACATTCTGCATGCAAGTCTCAGGCACAACCTTAGCTCAAGGCAACGGGGAAGCACGAGGAAAAGCATGCACGACGAGGGTCCGCTGCTACAAAGCTTGAAGAATTAAGCCTCTGCCAGAAACTCACGCAACTTCCTTAACATCCTCATCCCAGGTCCGAGGAGCAGGTAGCGAACAGTTTCGACTCCACCGCCGAGCGGGCGGCTGGGCCCCAGCACGAAGCAGGAGCGACACTTTCACGAGGGATGACGGGCTGCATCGCCTATCGGCGCGGTGCAACGTGGTCCTTGTCCCTCCTGATCCCCCAAAATAGCATGACCGCCGTCACCAACATTCTCGCAATCCTCTGCAGCATGTCCATCGCCGCAACACTCCGAGTCATCCACATCGTCCTCATGACCCTTGGCTGCTACTACAGCAGCTTCCACCACAACCACCACCACCGCCAGCAGCACCACCACGACTAGCAGTGTACCACCACCAACACCACCACCACCACCACCACCACCACCACCACCACCACCACCACCACCACCACCACCACCACCACCACCACCACCACCACCACCACCACCACCACCACCACCACCCCCCCCACCACCACCACCACCACCACCACCACCACCACCACCACCACCACCACCACCACCACCACCACCACCACCACCACCACCACCACCACCACCACCACCACCACCACCACCACCACCACCCTACTACTACTACTACTACTACTACTACTACTACTGCTACTACTGCTACTACTGCTACTACTGCTACTACTGCTACTACTGCTACTACTACTACTATACGACGACTACCACTGCTGCTGGAAAAAACTACTACTAGCACTAAAACTTGTAGTCGAACTCGTACTCGTGCTAGCAGTGGCACTGCTACTGCCACTGCCACTACGACAACCACTACCACGACGACGACTGCTACCATGTACTAGTACTAGTACTAGTACCCGTACTAATAGTTTCTCCGCTACTATGACTACGACTTGGACTGAGCTAGGCCTAGGACTACTACTACTCCTGACCATTACTGCAACTGCTCCTGCCACTCCTACAACGCTTAAGCCCAAAAACCCCAAAGCCCCGAACCCTGTCTCGCCTTGGGAGCGGAGCGGGCTGCCCGGCCCCAGTCGGATGGAGCAAGGAGCCGTGAGGTCGTCGGGAAGCTCGGGGCTGCCGGGACAATGGCAGGGCCTCGCAGGGCTGCGACTTCGAGGCATCTCTTTGATCGTTTCAAGATTAGTAAGGGTTTCGGGTTAGAAGCATTAGGGTTTATAGGGTTTAGGGTGTTAAGGGTTTAGGGCTGTTGGGTTCTCTGGCTTTGAGGGCCCTGGCAATGAAGGCTGGGAGTGTCGTCTTCTCCGCACGGGCCATACAGAAAGGAACAAATTCAATTCTCGCGGCGAGGAACTTTCACGGGTTATGTGGACTTAAGGACAAGGCTTTGGGAAAAGAACCTGAACAGAGGTGAAAGATCAGGGCGTTCGATGGCATTCGGTATTCTGTTTACTCTCCACAGTTTCTCCACAGCCGACTGCATTTGCAAGTCGTCCGATGCACACAGGCACGGCGCCTAATTCTAGCAGGGCTTTTGGGGAGCTAGTTTGTCGAATAGTGTACATGGGGACGGTAAGTGCATCAAAGTCTTCCGACCCTCTTACTCTGCTCACACTGCGCTGCCTGGGCTCTCGATCGATTCGCTGGGAAGGACTGGAGCTCCAACGTCTTCGGCGAGCTCCTCGTCGCTGCTGTGGCCTCCGGAGACAAACAGCTAGGTGAACAGCACTCTACTTCGGGCACAAGCCCACAGTCTGGCTAAACAACTCGAAGCAGAATGAGAAGTAGCAGGGGATGGCCGCAGGCCATGCGTAGTACTGGCAGCGCTGCCGCGCGTGCGATCACTTTTCCCGCGAAAATACTAGAGGCGTTGCATTAGGGGTGGTGGGGCTCCGGTTGGCGCTCGGTGTGTATCTGATTTCCCATTGAAACCGGTGGGAGGGAAGGGGGTCATGCGGAAGGTTCTATTCTCATCGAAATAGCAGCAGCAGCAACAGCAGCAAAAAAAGAGCAGGAGAAGTAGTAGTAGTAGTAGTAGTAGTAGTAGTAGTAGTAGTAGTAGTAGTAGCAGTAGTAGTAGTAGTAGGAGGAGGAGGAGGAGGAAGAGGAGGAGGAGTAGTAGTAGTAGTAGTAGTAGCAGCAGTCGTCGTCGTCGTCGTCGGAATGGTAGCAGTAGTCGTCACCGTCGTCGTCGTAGTAGCAGTAGTCGCCAACGACAGCAACAACAACAACTACTACTACTACTGCTACTGCTACTGCTACTGCTACTACTACTACTACCACTACCACTACCACTACCACTACCACTACCACTACCACTACCACTACCACTACCACTACCACTACCACTACCACTACCACTACCACTACCACTACTACTACTACTACTACTACTACTACTACTACTACTACTACTACTACTACTACTACTACTACTACTACTCCTACTCCTACTCCTACTCCGACTCCGACTGCGACTGCGACTGCGACTGCGACTGCGACTGCGACTGCGACTGCGACTGCGACTGCGTCTGCGTCTGCGTCTGCGTCTGCGACTGCGACTGCGACTGCGACTGCGACTGCGACTGCGACTGCGACTGCGACTGCGACTGCGACTGCTACTGCTGCTACTACTACGACTACGACTACGACTACGACGACGACGACGACTACTACTACAACTACAACTACCACTACTACTAGTACTACAACTGCTCCTACTCCTCCCACCACCACTGCTACTACTGCTACTGCTGCTCCTACTGCTACTGCTACTACTACTGCTGGTGCTGCTGCTGCTGCTGCTACTACTACTACTACTACTACTACTACTACTACTACTACTACTACTACTACTGAGTGAACCCGAAACACAAGCCTTGGAGGTTTTGGAAGAGCTGCAGCGTGAGGAGTGCGTCGCTACCCGCCGTGTGCGCCAGTCCCTGACGTGGCACCCCATGCTCGCGCGCGAGCTTGCCTGGGACTTCCAGAGCTACAGAGCCAATTTTGCCGAGTTTAAGATGGGCTTAGGGCTCATGGGCCATAACAAGGGGCTTGTCGTCGGAGCTTAAGGTCGTCACTCAGCTTTGCTGAGGTTGGGGCTTCAGACTCCAAGGCCCAGCTCAGGGATCGAAATAGATCACACAGCTTGTCGGAGACAAAAGCAGACGAGCGAGCAATCAAGGTACAAAGCTCACATGGGAAGGAATCGCCCGAGTCTTCCCTGAAGCAGACTATAAATATGCCGAGGACTTTGCACAAAACGCGACTGGTGATACTGCCGGGAGCCCACTGCTAGGAGCGGCTATGATGACGATGATGACGATGATCATGATGACTACGACGATGATGATGGTGATGGTGGGACTGATCGTAGCGATGAAGCTGCCAATGCTAACCCAATTGCTTCGGTCCGATGCTTGACCTTTCACCTAGCACTCTGTGCCGGCAAGTGACTCAAGGAGCCGAAGGGAAGCCAATCACGGAGGTCCTCGTTCCCAGCGCTGCTGGCCGAGAGCATAGCTTGAAATTCGCCACGTTCCTCGGGCAAGCTCCTGCCCTTTGACAGGAGGAGCAAGTATCCGAGATCGTAGAGGCCCGCGAAGGTGAGCCAGGTTGCCTCAAGCTTTGAACGTCAAAGATCATAACTCAAAGGGGGAAAAGGAGGGACCCTTAATGGGAACCCCTACCCTATAATGGGCTATATAATGGGTATATAAAAGCTATGTTAAGGGTCTATATAATGTCAGACTTGTGCTCGGACAAGCTGCGAGTCGGGACGCAAAACGGAAACACGGGCTACCAAGGCAGATTCAGCCACCAGAAACAAAGTGGCACTGCCTCCAGCCAAATCCCCAGAAGAACTCCTCTAAACACCATGGGGTCCCAACATACACTCTAGCCCAGGAACCTGTTCCAATGATGTCCGCAAGCTGTGTCCCAGACTGCGTGGGTTGATGCCTTCCTTCGCCTCGGCAGCTCGTCGATGAAATCACCAACTACCTTATGTCCCCTACCTCAATCCGTCATACTCTCCCGTATCCTTGCAACTCTTGGGTTTGGGTGAGTTTCCAGCGGATTTGAACGGCTTCTGCAGGAGTTGGTAAATGCAGCCAAGTGGCATGCTGGTCGAAGTTCACGCCAGCCTCCATGAGGAAGCGTAAGGCAGACTCGCGGTGACAATCCTGCATCGAGGTTCAACCCGCAAGCCCATGTGCATGTGCTTATTGTGACATACGTAGCCTTCTCCAATGAGATTCGTTGTTGGTATCAAAAATGGGGGAAGGATTACGGTCCCATAGGCTGGTGAATCTGTCTATGCGACTGTCGGAAATACCTCGAAGGTCCAGACTGCTAGAGTCTTGGGGGGACTCGAGAACCGAGAACGTCTTTCTCAGGGAGTTCTGGCTCCATAACCTCTGCCGCACCCTAGCCTCAAGCCGAAGCGCTTCAGAATCAATGTAGGTGCTTTAGTGATTAGACTTGCGTATGGGGGTGCATTATAGTAGAGCCAATAAGGGGCCCTGAGGATCATGTGGGTTTCCACGGAAGGGATCCCGTAAACCGAGGCTCCTTGCTACGGTCGAAGTGCAGGTTGAAGGTCCAAGCGCCCTTTACGCCTCCACAGGGAGTGCCCACCTTAGACGTCGCGGTACAGAGACTCTCCGGAAGAGAGGTGTGGGCAGATCCTTGTGCTTTCCTTCTGAGATCTGATCCCTTCCTTACCTTGCAGTCTAGGATTTCAACGATCCTACTTGGAGGTGTAGGTATAAGTAGAGTTGGAAGGCTCTTAATATGGGTTATATAGTTATAGTTACCCTACTTATAAGCCCACTTCTAATTAACTACCCATGGACCTCCAAGTAAACCATGCCAAATCTCTGGGAAGCTTGGCCAAGGGACAGCAAGGCCGAGCTGGATTGGCTTCAAAAGGTGGACGCTCTCCCTCATCGCGCGGTACTGCACCTCTCGGAGCAACAAATAACTATAAGAAGGGGAGAAGCAACAATCAAACTTAAAAAGGATACTGGTAATGCGCATGGTAATGGTAGCAACAATACAGTCATAACAACAATAGTAGTCGGTAGTAGTTGCAATTTGAAGCAGTGGTGGTGGTGGTGGTGGTGGTGGTGGTGGCAGAGTGGCAGTGGCAGTAGTAGTAGTAGTAGTAGTAGTAGTAGTAGTAGTAGTAGTAGTAGTAGTAGTAGTAGTAGTAGTAGTAGTGGTAGTAGTGGAAGTAGTGGTAGCAGCAGCAGCAGGAGTGGTGGTAGTGTAGTAGTAGTAGTAGTAGTAGTAGTAGTAGTAGTAGTAGTAGTAGTAGGAGGAGGAGGAGGAGGAGGAGGAGGAGGAGGAGTAGTGGTAGTAGTAGTAGTAGTAGTAGTAGTAGTAGTAGTAGTAGCAGTAATTGTAGTACTAACAAAAGCAATTGCAATAGTAATGACGAACAAACAAACTTGCAACAATGCTTCTGGTGCTGGCAAGAGTGATGACGCAAGTACCAATAGCAGTAACCGTTACCAACACAAGATAGTTTCGAACAGTAGCAGCAGTTTGTCCAACACACTAAAACACGACCCGCAAAAAAGATAGTTCCATGATCTCTGAACCATAGTCCAGGGACACTGGGGCTCCGCGTGGGGGCCTTTGCCTTGTGCTTTGGGGTTCGAATTGTTCAGGTTTCTGCTCCCGACCTCACCGGACTTCTTCCAGGCGTCTTCCTGGTACGCGCCGGGGAATTCCGTGTCGATTGCCTCGGGCGAGTCTGAATTCCGCAAAAGGCTTGTGCCATCGTCACCTGCAAGGAAACGTGCAGAACCGAAGCAGACACCATCATAGTGACATTTTGTGTGGTCAATCAGCGAGTCCGTGCTGTGGACGTTTGCACTACCATATCTTGAGTGAGGTGAATCTAGTAACTCTTAGTAGTGCAGACATCTATCAGCTACCCCAAGTCGAACTTGAGATGTAAGGATTTCCCATGCAACGCAGAAGTTGCAAGACTGGTTGCGATCACTGCGCCAGGTCCCACGTCCTGAATGGTCCGCTGAAGGGCATGGAGCTCAGGCTGCAAGTTCCACGCCCAAACTTCGCGGATGCTCGGCGCAAAATGCGTCATAGATGGCTTTGGTCACAATCACCGGGTGATCGGAGTTTCCTGGCATTGCAGAGACCTTTAAAAAGTCTACGACGGCCTTTAGGGGCTTCCCACCTTCACACAGCTCAGGCTTCCGGGACGGAGAGAAATGTCGTGAAATGCCTGCTTCCCCAAAATCCATGAAGTTGTTGCGAACAAGAACACAAACACCACAATAGTAACAGTAGAGACAAAGAATGTAAGAGGGAGTAGTACGGACGATAATGCGAAAGAGCTGACATTTATGGTAAACACAACAACCTTAGATAACTATCATCGATGCGATAGCAATAAGAACAACTCTTCCGAACTACTATCGCTAATTGGCTACAACTGATTTACCACCTCTTCTTCTTCAAACAACTGACTGTTCTTGCCATAACGATTGTTAGCAATATTGTTATGCTATCACTGTTTGTCTTCTACTATTTCTGTTCTTGTTGCTGCCCTTTACTTTCTGTACATCCAAGGCTCTTCCTGGAGAAGGCTGCGCCACGGAAGTGGCCGCGATTTCTTTCAAGGCGCCACGCAACTGAGGTGTTTCTGTCGCACAGCAGCTGAGCCCAAACGCCGACGCAAGGACTAAAGGCTTTTTGGGTTTCTAGGGCTTATAGGGTCTGAGGCATTGAAGGCTTAGGGTCTATAGGGCGACAAAAGAACGGTGCAACAAAAAATACCAGGCGCAGTAGCAACATAACTAACATCTTTTCCAGGGCAGAGGACAAACCCATGATCTACGGGCGTTTGCAGGAAAAGCTCTCCCCCGCAAGGCGCCGCCGCCTGTAGGCTGCCAGAGTCTCACCCGTCAGCCGTACCGCTCGGAAGACCACCTGATTTATGGCTTTAAAATTTAAGCCAGGGCTTGCGGCTACGAACAGCATGAAGAGTCTTACGGGTACTGAAAACAAAGGCAGGAAGTGATTTCGGGAACTCATGTCTTTCGAGGGATCTGGTAGTTGCATGTTCGATAAGAATTGCAGATTGTCTGGGTGTCATTTTAGCTCCTGCCAATAACAAAGGCAGCTCAATCGCCAGCACCACACATTGTGGCCACAATTGTCGCCGCCATTGCCATTCTAGCTCTCCCCGCAATAGTGGCGTCATGAAATGCTGGTGGTGATGACGGTGTTATGATGGGAGCGAATGATTGATCGAGTGAGTGAACAAACAAGTGAATGAGTGCAGAAACGAACGAACAAAGATGAGGAGGCAGAGGAGAGCAAGGATTTGCCACCATCATGGCTAACATTGTCTGAATGCTTCTGCAGATGCTTCTAGCGCTGTTCTGGTCGCCGTATTGTTCGCTGCGTCGTCCTTTCTGGTCGTGCTAGCATCTCAGCTCTAGTGCTTGGTTTTCGGAACAACAGTTCACGGATTTGGGAAACTGAAGAGACACACGGTGTTGTGATCAGAGCTGCAACTATAGCAAAACAAATGCAACAATCAGACGTTGGGTCCTGGGTTCGGGGTGTAGTGTCTCTGCGCTACTTGGGACTTAGGCCAAAGCGGTTCGGAGGTTTTCTGGAGTGTAGAGGCAAGGGCCCTGAATGGGACTTGTCGCGGATAACCTTAGCGTTTACGGTTTTAAGGTTTTTGGTGTTGGCTCCTCTTGTGTGCAGGGCACCAATGCCTCCAAGCCATAAGATCCAAACCCTACGCCCCAAAATCCCATGAGATCCTAAACCCCAAACCCTAAAATGCCAAAACCCCAAAACCCAAAACCCCCTATACCCCCCCCCCCCCCCCCCAAAAAAAAAAACCAGGAAATCCTATCCTAACCCCAACCCGAAGACCTTTCACTGCCGCAGGCACGGAGCGCTCTGCCGGCAGAGCCCGAAAGGCGCTCGCAGCGGCGCGCAGCAGCGAGGGGGCCCAGCCCTGTCGTTGGTTGCTGAGTACGTAAGTAGGGATTTACATGTGTATGCACATGTACATGAACATAGATACATACATACACACACAAACATGTATACATACATATATATATATATATATATATATATATGTATGTACATATGTACGTATATATATATATATATATATATATATGCTAGCCCCCCCCCCCCAAGACCAACCCTGAATTCCCTAAATTCCCTAATTCCCTACCCATTGGATTTAGGTATTTCCCTAAATTCCCTAAATTCCCTAATTCCCTACCCCATGTGTTGGATTTGGGGAATTCCCTATTTCCCTAAATTCCCTAAATTCCCTAAATTCCCTAAATTCCCTAAATTCCTTAAATTCCCTAAATTCCCTAAATTCCCTAAATTCCCTAAATTCCCTAAATTCCCTAAGTTCTGACCCCCATGGAGAAGATTCAATGGTTTCCGTTCATGGGTAGGGAATTTAGGGAATTTAGGGGGAATTTATTTAGGGAATTTAGGGAATTTAGGGAATTCCCCAAATCCAACACATGGGGTAGGGAATTAGGGAATTTAGGGAATTTAGGGAAATTAGGGAATTTAGGGAATTCCCTAAATCCAACACATGGTCCGGGCTGGGAGTCAGGAATGTTAGGGAATGCGCTAAAACCAACACATGGGGCTGGAAATTAGGGTATGTAAAGACTTTAGGGATTTAGGGAGTCTGCAGGAACTCACGCATTCTGTAAATTCGAGGCATGGAAGCAGTGATTAGAGAATTTAGGGAACTCGACCTCGCGACGTCGCCGGTTGACGTGTCTGTGCAACTGATACTTGTAGTAATATTGATATTATTTTGAAAACTTTGAAAACTATAATACTCATACGAGTACTAATACTTATAGTAATACTACTGGTGAAACTGATAGTATGCTAGTATGAATACTGATGTTCCCAAGAATACTTGAAATCATGTACATTGTATGAATAGTCTTGATGCGAATACTAATATACATACTATAGCTAGTATTATCGCTAGTATGAATATTGGCTATGCATATTCGTGAAATTACTCATTTTTGGAGTACTCATATTCATGCTAATATTAGCACTAAGGCTAGTGCGAGCGTGCATAATAACATGCTCATACATGAATGTTAGCATTCGTATTAATATCAGCATTGGTATGTTTTTCAGTAGTACTAGTAACTCATACGAAGTGTAACCTCAAGTTTCATATTCCGACGAATACCAACGCATGTTTTGTTCATACTAATTTTAATTCTACTACTAGTATCTACATACTCCTAATATTGAAAAAACTGTACTAATACCAATTTTAGAATTGATGTGAACACGAACTTTAATGTTCTTGCCAATACTAATATGCATAGTAATATTAGTTAGCATTAATGTATAGGAAAACTAATGTTCTTACGAATACTAATAATCATGTTCCCCTTTTATATTCATATAAGAATCGTCATGCCTAGATACGTACTAATGCTAGTACTCATGCTAATACGAGTATTAATACCAATACAAGCATAGGTATGAATATTCCTACGGGTATTTATGCTCATGTTCTTAACAAAATTATTCTCAGTACGAATACCGACATTAATAGTCTCTTTAGAACCATATTGATATTAATATGAGCACTAATACTTCGGCTAGTACGAACATGCATAATACTAGCAAAATTATTTGTGCTCATACAAATATAGAAAGATTATTACATACTCATATTAATATCAATACCAATATGAATTTACAAACATCATATTAATGTCAATATCGTTTTTGTAATGTATACTAAAGAATACATCAGAATAAGGCACAAGGAAATGAATGCATCAGATTGTTAAAAACTCAATGTTTTCATTTACCAATATGTACGGTCATAGTATTATACTAATATACTAATAAATTAATATACTAATATACTGAGAAACTGATATACCAATAGACCATTGTTACTAATATACCAATATACGAGTATACCCAAAAATTTTTATTAATATATATGTTTTGTTTATATACCAATATACTGAATATACACATATGAATACATATACACATAATGTACTAAGACTAAGTTTTTAAAGCCCAGCCCACGTCTAATATTAATACGAATACTAACACGAACACTAACACTAACACTGCTATAGACATATATTAAATTAAACTGGAGCACTAATACTCATATTAATATTAAGACTAACACTGACGTTGACACTGACACCAGCATCAGCACTAACAGGAAAACTAATCAAACGAACAGTAATATTGGACAGATACCAGCAGCATTGTTAGAACTTCTAAAATTAGTAATGACACAAAACTAATAATAATGCTAACGCTAGCAAAAATATTAAGGTTACTACGCACAATAGTTGAGGTTAAAACTTAGAACAAAATTAAGTCAAGACCAATGTTAACACTGTTTTTTAAGACTGAAACTAATAATAAGACTTTGACAAGATGACAACTCATGTTAATATCAATACCAATATGAATTTACAAACATCATATTAATGTCAATATCGTTTTTGTAATGTATACTAAAGAATACATCAGAATAAGGCACAAGGAAATGAATGCATCAGATTGTTAAAAACTCAATGTTTTCATTTACCAATATGTACGGTCATAGTATTATACTAATATACTAATAAATTAATATATTAATATACTGAGAAACTGATATACCAATAGACCATTGTTACTAATATACCAATATACGAGTATACCCAAAATTTTTTTAATGAATATATATGTTTTGTTTATATACCAATATACTGAATATACACATATGAATACTTATACACATAATGTACTAAGACTAAGTTTTTAAAGCCCAGCCCACGTCTAATATTAATACGAATACTAACACGAACACTAACACTAACACTGCTATAGACATATATTAAATTAAACTGGAGCACTAATACTCATATTAATATTAAGACTAACACTGACGTTGACACTGACACCAGCATCAGCACTAACAGGAAAACTAATCAAACGAACAGTAATATTGGACAGATACCAGCAGCATTGTTAGAACTTCTAAAATTAGTAATGACACAAAACTAATAATAATGCTAACGCTAGCAAAAATATTAAGGTTACTACTCACAATAGTTGAGGTTAAAACTTAGAACAAAATTAAGTCAAGACCAATGTTAACACTGTTTTTTAAGACTGAAACTAATAATAAGACTTTGACAAGATGACAATAATTAATAAAGGATGAGGCACACAAACTGGACTCTGTCTTTTACCACTCCGACAAGACGCGCCGAGAGTGTAAATGGTGTCCATAAAACTGGACCCTGTTTTTTACCAGTCTGTCAAGAGGCGTCGAGACTGCAAACTTTGTACGGGAACACAAACACCATCGGTATTTACAGTGGTTTCGGCTCTTATTCATGACGCTGTGAAGACAGTTATGAGCAGGACAATGGCCGAGGTTGGTCCTGGGGGGGGGGGTTACCATATATATATATATATATATATATTGGTGGTATTTAGTACCACATTTATGTATTGCCCATGCATACGCACAAGCATAGACATGTACATATACATACACCGATGTGCACAACATATTTTGATATGTATGCTGCCCCGCCAAAGCTCCACGTCTAGAGGACGTAAGAAACGCTCATCGCCGATTGCGGCTTTGTAAAACCTGAGAAAGCGCCTTCGTTTCGTTCTTGGCACAGCTTTTGTTCAGCTCGCGGAGGGCGTTGCCACCCAGTAGAGACAATGCAAAGAGGGCGAAAGCATCGGTAATCTCGCCCGAGGCTCCTGCCAGAACTCTTGCTATGGCCTCTGCACTGCCCTTTTGCTTATAAATAGTCTGCTGGGCCGGGGATCGATGATGAAGAACGAGCTCCGAAGCAACCGAATGTCTAAGCATATGTACCATCTTTCAGGATCATGGAAACCGACACCAGAGAGTTGCCAACATACCGGCTCCGGTCTTCGTACCTACGAGACACAGATCTGCAAGCCGGGTGCTATGAAGCCCCTGCCCCCGAGTGTACTACCCGACTCGCTCACGCAACAAAATCCACGCCTGGGAACAGGCTAAACCCACGGGCCGAAACTCCTCAAGTCCCCCAAAATACTCCAAAGCCCCTGCAAAAAGTCCCCCAACGAAGCAGAGCCCTTCGAGACTCCTCCAGCAATCTTTGTCTGGACTAAGAGCCTGGAAGCAGCGACGAGACTCTTCATGCTCGGAAAATCTCCAATGGGTCCAGGAAGATCGGCCTCCGCAGGGAGGGGGGGGGGGTCCCAGCTTCAATCCTCTCAGGGGATCTGCGAGGGTTTAGGGTTTAAGGCTTAAGAAGGCTGATTACGGGGCCTAGGCCTAGGATTTAAGGTTACCTGCGAGGCTCCGAGGGTCTAGGGTTTATAGCTCAAGTTACCTGCGGGTTTGGGGTTGAAAAGGCTTATGGGCCTAGGACTTGAAGGTTTCGGACCTCGGGTTCGAGGGCTTGTGGGCTCACTTGAGGGGAGCTTCAGGGATTCGGGATGGGGCTCCGGGGCTCGCAGGGCTTGCAGGAGAATAGGGGCCTTGATGATTGGAAGCGCGGGCTTGGGGTGTATATGATAGTATGCTTAGAACTACTCAGGGTTTAGAGTTCAGGGTTCAGGGTTCTATATGCAACGGATAGCTTAGTTGTCGACGTCTTCGCCTGCGGAGTTTTTGGAGGTTTGACTTTGAGCTGAACCTTGGCTTGGGTGGGACGCGACGTGATTCGCGATTATGCTGGAAGATTTGAAATAGAAGTTGCCCCGGCTGAAACATTAGAGTAGGGTTTCGGGGTACACAAGGTATAGTATAATCATACAAGGACTGCAAGGGGCTGTCACTGTTATAGAAAATGCTCAGGCTTGCCACTGCTCATCTTTCAGCTGCTCCGCGATCTGCTGTTTGGATGGATACAACCTCTCAAAGTACGGCTTCAGAGCCTAAATCGACAAATCTTCAGCTCCCCATCTGAACCCGAACCCCCCGGTGAAGAGGCAGCAGCAAGCTACATCAGTATATTTCCCCCCCCCCCCCCCAAAAAAAAAAAACTAGAAGACAATTGGCGCGAAAGCATCATCAGCGAAGATTGTGGGGCTATGTGATACATCCAGTGTATAGGATCGTAAAGTCACAGAATCAAGAGTCATAGAGTCCATGAGTCATGAGTCATAAAGTCATAGAGTTACAGTGAGATAGCGTCATAGAGTCATAGTGAGATCAAGTCGCAGAGTCATGGAGTCATCTATGTACCATGCACTTGACTCGATGTAGTTCACTCTATGCTCTATGTGTGGGAACGCTTAATCGAGATCCCCATAGCGTGAGGGCTCATAGCCTGACCTGGACCTCGAGATGCAGATACAGTCAAGAGTCATAGAGTCCATGAGTCATGAGTCATAAAGTCATAGAGTTGCAGTGAGATAGCGTCATAGAGTCATAGTGAGATAGAGTCACAGAGTCATGGAGTCATCTATGTACCATGCACCAAAATGTGTAACTTCACCTCGCGCTCGAACCCTCGACAACGCCAATCTGTGTGAAGGGTTGCAAAATTCATCTCAATGCTCATCAAAAAATGCAACTTTACCTCGCGTTCGAACACTCGACCACGCCAATCCCTGTGAGGGGTTGCAAAATTCATCTCAATGCTCATCAAAAATTGCAACTTTACCTCGCGTTCGAACACTCCACCACGCCAATCCCTGTGAAGGGTTGCAAAATTCAGCTCAATGCACATCAAAAAATGCAACTTTACCTCGCGTTCGAACACTCCGACCACGCCAATCCCTGTGAAGGGTTGCAAAATTCATTTCAATGCACATAAAATAATCCATCTCAATGCTCGTCAAAAAATGCAACTTTACCTCGCGTTCGAACACCCGACCACGCCAATCCCTGTGAAGGGTTGCAAAATGCCAATCCCTGTGAAGGGTTGCAAAAAAAAATGAACTGCACCCAAACCCTGTGAAGGGTTGCGCGGCGCCCGCAAAATGTGTAACTTTACCTCGCGTTTGAACGCCCGAGAGTTCCAATCCCTGTGAAGGGTTGCGCGGGAACCGCAAAATGTGTAACTTTACCTCGCGTTTGAACGCCCGAGGCAGCGAATCCCTGTGAAGGGTTCACCCGCGCGCCTAAAATGTGTAACTTTACCTCGCGTTTGAACGCCCGAGGCAGCGAATCCTTGTGAAGGGTTCACCCGGGCGCCTAAAATGTGTAACTTTACCTCGCGTTTGAACGCCCGAGGCAGCGAATCCTTGTGAAGGGTTCACCCGGGCGCCTAAAATGTGTAACTTTACCTCGCGTTTGAACGCCCGAGGCAGCGAATCCTTGTGAAGGGTTCACCCGGGCGCCTAATAAGTTAAAAAATGTGTAACTTTACCTAGCGTTTGGGCCCTCGCCCATGCCAATCCCTGTGAAGGGTTCACCCGGGCGCCTAAAATGTGTAACTTTACCTCGCGTTTGAACGCCCGAGGCAGCGAATCCCTGGGAAGGGTTGCGCGGGAACCCTAAAATGTGTAACTTTACCTCGCGTTTGAACGCCCGAGGAGGCGAATCCCTGGGAAGGGTTGCATTCCCGATGGACGACAACGGTGCCACCCCCTGGCTTTAAAAGAGAGAATTAGATACCGAGATGTAGAGAGTAAGTCATAGAGGCAATAGAGGCATAGAGTCAAGTAAGTAAGTAAGTAAGTAAAAGTAAGTAAGTAGGTAAGTAAGTAAGTAACTAAGCAAGTCAAGCAAGTAAGTAAGTAAGTATAAGTAAGTATAAGTAAGTATAGAGATAGCATAGAGTCCAGTGTCAAGTGTCAAGTAAGTTAGTAAGTAGATTGAAGTAAGTAAGTAAGTAAGTAAGTCGTAAGCATAACAAAGAGTCAAGTATCAAGTGTAGAGTCAAGTATCATAGAGTCAAGTGTCAAGTGTAGAGAGTCAGTCATAGGGGTCAAGTAAGTAAGTAAGTATCAAGTGTAGAGTCAAGTATCAAGTGTAGAGTAAAGTACGGAGTCAAGTAAGTTGATTCTATGTCTGTCATCTATGTACTCAGCTGCGGCGTTCCACACGGAAGAACCCTTCGCGATGCTTTCGGGAAAAACAAGTACCCAAACCCTCGCGTGCCATTCCTCCAGGCCTGGCTCAGCACCTCATGCAGTGGAGCTTCCTCAGCTTCGGCCTCTGCCTCCTCGCCAGAGAGCCAGAGCTTGCCTCGGAGTGGCATTGAAGTAGGGATTAGGGTTTAGGGTTTAGGGGTTTAGGGTTTAGGGGTTTAGGGTTTTTTTTTTTTTGTGAGCGCCTTTTTCCATCTGCCTATGTGGTGTCCGGAATCTGCATTGCAGAAGGCAACTGACCCTTAACTCTCAGATGATCTCGCAGTATCTTGGCATTCACCATCACTTTGAGGCAACGTCGGCCTCACAGCATCATTTGGACCTTCTTCACCCTCTGTACCGACATTCTCCACTCCTGAGGCCTCTCCATGTCCATCTCCTGCACCACAAATGTCAAGTAGTTCTTGTGCGTCCCAGACGACCATGTTGGAGAGCTCATGACGGCATCGTTCGACTCCCTCATCCCTCATACGGCGAAACATTTGGAGCCAGGTAGCCCCGTAGATCTCGTTCACCGTCTCATCACGCAACAGCCCGCGGAGCCAGCGTTCGTGGACTTGCTTCACCACACTGTAGGAGATGCGCGAAGAAAGGGCCATACCCTCCGTAGACGGTAGTTCATCCCGAGGTATCGCCACAGAGTCACCCTCATTCTCGGCAGTCGTTTGCAAGATTTGACCCAGCTGGCCCCGAATAGAATCAAGCCCTCCCACACGCCATGTCCTGAATAGGCCCAACCACTGTTCCCCGAATGCAGCTTGTATGTTGCCGTCTGTCCTGAGTCCCATCTTCCACTGGCCATACATCGATTCGAAGAAAGGGAAGTCAGGCTTGGGCTTGCCTTCTTGCATCATCGGAGACAGCTCGCGGTCATCGAGTGGAGGCGGCCCTGTTTCCCGCAGCCTTTCCAGCGACTGGTCTTCCGCCTGGGCTACCACATGTTGGGCCTGCACCATCTCCGCAACTTCCCTGCCATACTGGCATTCAATCTCCTCGACCGTGAGCACACCATCCCTCCATTTTGCATAAATGGCTTCGTAGTCCTTGAACTCCAACTCCCCAAAGGCACCAATCACGCCCCCCGTGTCGTTGTTGACAGCCTTCTGCCCAGGCCCAATCGGAGGCCCTGGTTCGCTCTCCACCTGTACTGTGCTGACATTCTCCGGGTCTGCCTCCATACGAGCACGGATGGTGAGGCTGACAGGTTCGCCTGTGAGAGGAACGTCCAGAGCCAGGGTGTGGAGTATCCTCGGATGGTCTCCCGAACCGGAGGCCGCTTCCACAGCAAGAACGCACCTCCTCTTGTGGGGCGGCCTCGCGGCCAGGACCTCTTGGCGAACTTGGTCTTGTTCCCATTCACGATAGGCACGAGCATCTGCTTTCAGTTCTGCCATCTCCCTTTCCTGCAGTTCCTCGTGTGCCGCCAACCTGCGGCGTTCTTCATCCTCCTCACGCCTTCGTTGGTCTTGCCAGTGTTCTTCGCTCAGCTCATCCTCCAGCAACTTGTCCAGGTCATGGTCCATCATGGGCATGTTTCCCTCTCCCGCAGCGGTGCTTTGAGAGTCAAGAGGGACCGGGCTAGGTTCCGATAGGAACCCAGGTATGAAAGCTGAGAGCTCATTCACCCAACTCTGGAGCCAGTCAAGGTCGGCCCCTTCCACCGTGGTCACTCTTCCGCCTGCATCCGCTCCCAAAGCCACGAACAGTGCCTGGAGCTGCGCCACCCATGGGCCAGACTCTGCATTGATCAGCGGCGGAATTCCTTCCTGTAGCATCCGTACATGTACCCTCTGAAGGGCAACGTCCTGTCCCAAGAGCTCCTTATGCAGGCGTGTAATTGCCCTCGTCCACCGTTGTTCCATGGTCCCTTTGCCGTCTGTTAAGAGGTATGCCTGCATGAGGAGGTGCTCGTCGTCCTCTTCATCCAAGTGCACCTCGACCGTGTCCGTGTCCGCCTCTCTGGTGCGGGCGATGGCGTCAGCCACATCCAAGGTCTGACTGAGTTCCGCCATCATGTATCTCAGGATGGTGACCAAGGCACACGTCGAGACAAGACGGTTCTGTACTGACATAGCCTCATGTTGTGCGCTGATCTCCCTCAGCATCCTGGGCGGCAAGAAACTGCTGGGTACCCTGGAGTTCCCCTCCAATCTGGGGCCAAAGTGTTCCACGGTCGAACAGGTAGTAGCGCCACAGGTTGACAGCCTGGTCAGAAGACATAGGTTGTGTGACATCTGGGAACCCTGCAATAGTCGGCCTTGGAATGAGTGTCAAGGAAGACGGTGCCGGGTCCCGTGACCCAGATGCAGGTTCGTGGCATCGCCCTTCACCCCCAGCACTGGTATCAGGGGGGGCCGCACTGGCCCCTCTCCTGGCGGCCCGTTCTCTGATACGGCTCAGCCTCGCTTCCTTCCCCGGGTCAGCGGCATTACCTTGCCTCGGTCGGCGTCCTCCGCTACCTGCGCCGGTGTGTCCCGATCTCCTTGGAGTTCTTGAGTCCCGAACCCTGCGTCGCCCATCACTATACCTGTCCCTCTCCATCATGCTGACAGTGTCTTCCGTGACATTGGTCCCTTCGCGTTGTTCCTCTTCTCCCTCTTCTTCAGCATCCCTGGAAGCCATATAGTACCCATAAAGGTGAGTCTCGATCTCCTGTGCCCACGAGAAGAAGTTTGCCGGGGTGGTAGAATCGTCCAAGCCCGCGGAGTTAGGGAACCCGGCCCCCAGTGTAGCGATCGGACCCATCACCCAACTCTCGTAGGCAGGTTCTCGGCGGGCAACAGCTTGGGATCTTACCATGCAGATAGCCATGCCAATGGCCCGATCCTCCTCGAACTGTTAAGTTGGTGCTGGAGCCCGCGGTGGGGTCATATTCAGGCCCTCCACGTTTCCAGGAATGATGTGGCAAAATACAGCTACAACCCATCTGCTGTGCATCAAAACCTCACACTCGAGAGCGATTGATATCAGATTGCAGCTCGTCAACTACAATACGAAACAAAGTACGCGCGAGCAAGCGGGAAGCCATTTATTCATGGAAACGCCCTACCGTCCGGACCTTGTTATTGCTTCTATAACGTTGAGAGTCAAAACTTCGAAGTTAAGGGTTTGCAGATAATACGTTTAAGGCCCGTAACAAGTGACGAATACACTGCGACAGGGAGTGGAAGCCTTGATTGGGGAAGATTCCGATGGTGATATGCTGTCTGAGGCCGGTCTACACATCTCAAAAGACTAGCGAGCTGGTATTTGGGAAAATGTTATGTCCCAAAAGGAATATGGGAAAATGACCTCTTAGAGGTCATATAATATATCATTTCAAATCTTCATTCATCTGTAATCTATTCTCAAAATGTAAGCAGCGATAAGCATAATGGCATTGGTCTCACCGTGTTGAAGGCGATGATGATAATGATAATGATAATGATGATGGCGGTTGTTATGGTAGTACAATGATGACGATTTCACGCTGATGGTTTTGATGAGGCTTTCGGTTTGGCACTAGTTCGTGAGTAAAGAGCTAGCAGTAATAGGAAGGAAAGCAATCACAACAAAAGCAAGTGCAATCACCATCATCATTATCGTCGTCATCTTCATCCAAATCGCCATCGACCTGGTCATCCGCGATATCATATCGCCATTGCCATCATCATCGGCATCGCGACTGTCATCACCGTCACCACTGCCACAATCATCGTCATCGTCATCGTCATCACAACATCGTCACGGTCATTGTCATCCCAATCGCCATCGGCATCTTCATTCTCATCACCGCTATATCGCCATCACCATCATCGGCATCGTTATTGTCATAAGCCTCTACGCCACCGTGACCGTCACCACAATCATCGAAGTCGTCATCGCCATCATCGACACTTCGCTCTGACCGAGTTTTCAAGCTTCCACGCTGCCACATGCCGTGATCCTGTTCATACGGTTCATACGGTCCTATGCGTCTGCCCTATGGGAAGCACGCAGCCACCTCGTCCATCTTCTCTACGCTGTTACCGGATGCCTTCAACAGATTCTTCGCAGCTTCGTACTTTGCCTTGATGGTTGGTGTGGCCATGAACATGCTCTTGCGGATGCCGTAGGTCAGGGCGGAGTCGCCCGTCTTTTCGAGCAACGACCACCCCGCTGGAATCCAAAGAACCACTTCCTTCTCCATAGAGCACTTGTACACGGGCACTCCAAGGTCCTTCAACTGCTGCACCTGCTCCGGGGTGAAGGCACACACGATATCGTAGAGCTCCGTCGTGCTACGAGCCGCCTTGCCCAACTGAGGCAACTGTTGCAGCAGCAACTCGGTGTCGATGGCGTAGGCCGTAACCGTCCCGAAGACGAGCATCTTGAAACACCCTGCGCAATTGGGAGTCAATCCAGAGCTGTCCCAAGCCTTGACTAAGCCGAACATCCACGTCGTGTCGTTGAAGCTTTTTGCAACCTTGGTGATATCAACGATCTTGTCCTTGTGCTGCGACATGAAGCTGCCAAACAGGGCCTCGGCCTGCTCTTTTCCTTGACCTGCTGCGAATGGCTGGGTGTGCTTGCCCTCCTTCTTCGTGACGTCCTGCTTGTTGTACCGTGCCCCGTAGGAGGACATGACCGCGGTCACGGTCTTGTCAGCCATGAACTCACGCACCAAGGAGTTGCCGCTGATGAGGAAAGGCACGTCGAACTTGATGTCGGTCGCGAGCTCCTTTTCCACGCTGGTCGGCTTCACAATGCTCATCACATCGTCCGGGCATTCGAAGAGTTTCTTCGAACCAGGTGAGGCTGACGACTCTTTGATGGCCTTGGCACGATCAGCAGCCTCTTGCCTGGCAGCGAGGGTTGCCTTCTTCTCTTCGGCAGCCTTCTCCTTCGCAGCGGTTTTGGCCACAGCAGACTCAACTGCTTTGAGATGCCTCGCCAACTCCGAAGTGGCGTGCTTCATGCCTGCAAGCAAAGCCACGAGACAATGTTGCATACGAGCCCACTGCAAGCGCTTCTTATCCAAGTGCCTCAACTCCGTGACATTGTCAAAGCTTTGCTCTGCGAAGTTGTTCATGAACAAGTGGCTGCGAAAGAACTGGGGATACCTGACATTGATGAACCCGGCGAGGACGGGGACGTCGTCCTTGTTTGGACCATCGGCGGCAGCTGCCGGCAGCTTTAGGTCCACCTCCGCAGAGATAGACCTGACCACCTCCGGGACCTTCGAGTCTTCGAGGCCCTGCCATGCATTCGCCGTCAGCACGTGAGCGATCACATTCTTCAGGTAGATTTGGCGAGCCATCTTGTCCGTGCTCGTCAGCTCGATCGTCGCACTCTTGTGGGCCGCCAGCTTCTCCACCGCTGCAGCCACGTTGGTTCGAATCTCGTCGACCTTGGCCTTCAAGTCGCCGGAAACCTTGGAGAGGAAGGAAGTCTTGGACTGGAGCAAATTGGTCCCCTTCTTGGCTTTCTTGCTCTCTCGGAGCAGCTGCTCCTCGTCGTCACTGTCCTCCAAAGTGAAGATGGCCAACCAACCTACGAACAACCAACCCTTCATCTAATCGCCCAACTCTTATTCCGGAAACCACAAACCCTAGACTCAAGTAATCCGAAACCAACATCACCTCTGTCCTCGAAGGAAACTGGATCCTTCCTTTTCTGGGGGGTCAACTCCTGTCCAGGCTCCCCACTCTTGGCAGGGCTTCCGAGGCCAACCTGCAAACCAAATCAGGAAGCTTGCTGTTTGCAAAAAGAGTTTCACTGGTTCTGCAAGCTCTGGGCTTTGGATTTGGGAGCAAGTTTGCCACCATGTCCACATATTTTGTTTTGCCTTGAAGGTGTTAAGGTTCGGGGCTTAGGGCTTGAAGGCTTTTTGGTGTAGGGGTTAAGGTCTGTCACGCTTGGTCCGAACATGGTTGAACAAACTTGAATTCCTTCGCCTCCTATGGTGCACTGCCATCGTTTGAGCCTTTAGTGTTTAAGACTTTGGAGCACGCACACACACACACACACACACACACACACACACTTTGAGCCAACACCGTGTGAGACAAAGTGTGAAACGAAGTGGAGTCCTAGGTGACGGGACAGGAAGCAGCAACAGAACTTCGAGACTGGTCGGACGAAGAACTGCTGTTTGCGAACGGAAAGAAGCCTTCACCGAACCTTCACGGACACCCGCTTGCAAACCGCACTTCGGCACTTCGAGCAAAACAAGAAACAATAACATTTCGTTAACATGGTTTGTAGTAACATGATCAGACACAGCAACACAATGTGAACGTGGATGTGTCCCAGCCTCAAGGTCGTCCGTGGGCGGAGGCTCAACACCCCTGGGTGTCAATATCGAGCCGGCATCGCCGGCTTGCGAGCTCGAAGCCAACGAGCTACGCCCATGGAAAAATTCATGATGGTGACCCATGATCGTTTCATCCACATGAAGCCGCATGGCATCCCGATCTGAATCCTTGATTTTTTTCTTGCGACTCGATCCTTCAACGGCGCCCTCATCGATGTACTTGTCCTTGTGGGAGTCCTGGTACTCCTTCTTCGGGAGCCACAACCTCAATTGGCCGTTGTACCCCTTATAATCCCTCCTGGTGTTCTCCGCTTCGGCTTGACACCACAAGCTTTCTGCCTCCCTCTCCGATCGACCGAACTTCGTCATCTGCCGGATCACGAACTGTCTCTTTTCGAAAGGGACTTTCTCCGAACCTTCACGGATACCAACTTGCAGACCGTACTTCGAGTTCCACTCGGCCCAGTCCACAAGGCCATTTTTGAACAATGGACTGGCAATGTTCTTCTCACTCCATTCTGCAACCATGTCTGCAGCCTTGCGATCATCCTTCATGGCATTAGTGTTGGCCTCTTTCTGTTCAACACTTATCTTTCCAGAATGATGAAGCAAGTTGTCACGATGGCATGTGTGGAAGCGGCAAAATTTGGAGCCGGGCTTCTTCAACTCCTCACAAATGATGATGAGGCACGTCTTTTGACTTTCCTTACGACCACGCCTCGAGCCCCCGCCTGTGCTGGAGCCGCTGCCGCCTGTGACTACGGATTGCCCCGAAGCCCCAGCCGGACTGGCGATTGCGAGGTTAATGGCAGCATGTGCTGGATCATCCATGCTGCACTGTGGAACGACCCGCCCTCCGGAAACGAGGGCTGTTCAGGGACGCACCACTAAGCAAAACCAGCTGCAACAACATCTGAAGCAACATGGATTGTGGCTTCCGAACTACGAGAACAGTCTCAGTCGACATAGGAAGCATCACAGGAAAAGTCGCAACTGTTTTGCTAGGCTCCCACAGTACATCCGAGCAAGGACCACAATAGTACTAGTCATAGTCTGTACAAGAAACTGCTTTCTGGACTTTGGATGCAGCTACGGCCACGTGACGCTGGCTCGCTGACAGGTGACTCGTGTACGAAGGTTGAGGGGTTCGGGCTTTTCCTACCGGAGTACGAGACATTCTATATCACCTACGGTGCAATCACAATCTCAAAACTGCCCTGCGGCGACTGCTCTGCTCACGGTCACTGCCAAACACCTGCTCGGAAGGCTCGTCATGATTTGTTGCATCATCCTCCGCAGTGGACGACTGCGGAAATGCACTCGGAGGTCCTGTGATCTCGGATCTCCTGCAACAGTTCCCCAGAACGAACACCATCCAGCAAAGGAAAGAGGGGACATGTATGGAATTTCCAACCAAAAGCTTTGCAGCAGGATCCGGAAGCGATGCAAGAATCGGCTTCAATGGACTCGGACCCCTGTCCCCACTCAAGCTGGGAAACATATCCAGCCCTTGGGCTGCGAAGCATTCCAGCGGCAGGGCCAAACGTTCCTTGCGATAAGAGAAAATGTTGGGATGTGTGTCCATCGCAGGAAACAGCGGGCCGGCCAAAGGCCCGAAGCCTGGGTTATGATCCAGGTCACACAGGTATGTACCATCCAAAGCCATGCGATCTTCTCTGAGGGCATCGTACTTTCGTTTCCGAGCCACTGCGCCCGGAGCCACAATCAACCCGAGAAGGCTCTCCACAGAGCAAGCCTCGCAGCCAGGCGGCATCTGGTGCTTTCTCGACTTTAGCCGAGCCTCCATCCAAGCCTGGACCTCACTTTCCGACGCGGCCAGGAAAGCATCACCAGTCAGCACGCATGATGTCTTAAACAGTGTATCCCAAAGCTCCTGCACATCTGAAGGGTCGGTGGGACCGCACCAAACAAACTCTTCGCGGCATAACCCTGCACTGAATGTACGCCGTCTCCGTACTGGAAATCCCAAGTCATGAGGGCTGCATCTGACAAAGACAACATGATGGGTGACTGCCATTGCCTCTGCTTGCTTCTGCTCCACGGGATACAAAGCTGCACACTCGGAAAAGAAGCACGACTCGGCTCCTAGTTCTGCGGCTCGCAGACGGTCCACATGCCACAAATGATGAGCCCATTCATTGACACCAGCTCCCCGCCTTTGCTTGCCGAGCACCGAATAGTCGGTGCAGACAAGGCCAGCTGCTGTCATGGCAAGAGGTTTGCGTGTCCAAGGCGGATCCTCCCACCATGCCGCACCCAATGTCTGCGACCTTACAGACTGCTCACGCTGCTCCGAAACAGAGCCCTCACTGTGTTCCTGGCAGGCAAGCAAGCGAGGGTAAACTGGGCAAGGGCGATCATGAACAAGACAGTGGCACTTGGTGGTGGCATCCAGAATACTACATCGGTTCTCTAGCAAAAACTCCAGGATGTCTTTGTTGGCCTTGGCGGCTGCCTCCAGACTAGAAGTACCTGCAGGCACGACTGCATGTATCCATTCTGCAGCCCACAAAGGTAAGCGGTCTTGCAGGTTTGCGAAGACACATGATGAGTTCGCATCCAAACTCTCGGACTGCTGTAGCAAGACGTCTTGCTGCACCCGGCCCACATCACAAGCACGAACGCAATGGAAAGGAAAAGGTTCCTGGTCAGGTTGCATACGCTGTAGAACATCTCGCAACACTCTCAGACACTCCCGGGGAGCATCGTATCCGGAAAAGTCGCTGTAGTAGATGACACCTGAAGAAAGATTGTGTTGCGCCAACCTCAGAGCACCGTTCTTGAGAAGAGGCTGGAGCAGCTTGACATCCCAGTTTGAAAGCTCCTGATGGCTTTGGAAGCCATCCGAAGTCCTATCTTCTAGGCACCATGAATCACCACGATTGTAAACCTGCAGAGGCTGCTCTTTGCCCCTGCTGACCTTGCGAGGAGACGGCATGTTTCATCCAAGCACTGGACACGACTACGACTACAAATCCGAAAGACTGCAAGTCTTGTCACCTTGCGGGCATTTGGGGCTGTCCATAATTGGGCTTTCAAGGGTTGTATTTGGGTTCGAGGAAAGTTGCTTTTGACACGTCATACACTACACCCACAGACAAGCTGGTGTTTACTGTAGTCTGGTTTACAAGCCCAGGTCGTGACCTAGGAACTTACTGTAACAGCTGCATCTTGCCCAGGCTGGCCAATACGACTGACGACTGAACCCTGCTTCGGAACATCTAGGTACCTGATGTCGTAAAAGGGTGCGCCTACATGCCAACTGCCGAGCGACAGCACAGAACAAGCGACAGCCCATTCCCCATGAGCACATGCAGCCTCTCACATGCAAAATCAGAAAACTAAACTCAATCAGATGGCAGATTGCTCCAAAAAGCACAGGAGCATTCATTAATCAAGCAAAAACCCATGAAATCCTGCATCGGCATGTCTGCGGCCCATGAAAATCATTGAAACAAAGCTTGTCGCCACAAATCTGATGGTTTTTTTCTCATGCCTTCCCAAAAAACACTGAAACTATAGAAAAGCATTGAAATACATTCACAATTCGTTCAAAATTCGTTCAAAATTCGTTCAAAATTCGTTCACAATTGCCAAAAGCCATGCAAATCCGCCAAAAGCATGCCAAATCATGCCAAAATTTTCGTTCACAATTCGTTCAAAATTCGTTCAATATTCGTTCACAATTCCCTGTGGTCCCTGGAGCCTTTCAATCACAAATTTTGCCGAGTCATGCAAGCTTTGATGTTTCAGAGCTGTTTTCATGCTGATTTCACTGATTTCCTTGCCAAAAGCCTCCGCAAACTCTCTCCTGCTGCTTCTCTCGACCCAACAGAGCTCTGCTGGCAGAGCTTACACACTCACACTGGTGGAATTACTACAAAAGGAGAGTTTCACTTCTTTCTGAATGCATACCACGCTCCACCACTCTTTTCCCACTCAAAACCGAACTTCATCCTGTCTTTCACTCTCTCACCTCCCTTTCTGACTGTCTGAGTCGAGTCAGCATGTCCAACGGCCCAAGGCACTCAAGCGCAACTCCCGCATGTCTTGTTGCACAACAACAGGTTGGGTTCTACTGAAATTAGTAAGGATTAAGTTGGTTCAATCTTGAATACTTCAGGAGTGGTGCCACATTGTGCTTAGTGTAGCGGGGCCTGAGAACCCAAGCGCCTCCAATTCAGGTCAACACCTAGTCACTATAAATGATGCCTCTGTAAACAAGGGATAGCTTGTCAGGCTTGGTAATGACGATGGCTGGGCATTAGTCTTTCCTACATCCACCAAACATTCATGGGGGCTTGTTGGGGGACTTGGGCTTTGGGTCAATTCGGGTCTGTCCTACTGAGCTTTGGAAGTGGTTTGAACGGTAGCTCGATGGCAAAAGAGAAATGATGATAGCACAAACCAGGCATCTCGGTTTTGGTTGGCGGGAGTACAGAACCCCTGCTACACAGTACACCGAGCTGCATTGGAGAGGAGCGGTAATCCATGTTGTTGAAGAAGATGACTACCAGTGACTACCATGTAAGGGACCGTGAATCGACAAAAGGCTTCAATGGACAGACTGAGAACGCACTGCCGGCCCTCCGGTTCCGAAGGAATTATCGTTCTACACGACACAAACAAACAAACATCTGCTACTCTCAACCGTGCCCCACCCCACAAACTGAAAAACCAAACCCTGCAACACTGAAGGACGATGTTCACTGACTGGTTCGCACCCTGAAACGGCTCGATTCACGTTTTTCAGGAACTGCGAACACGCTTGGCTGGCCGCTCCGGGCCCGACTTCGGCTTGGCTTCTGCTTTGGCCTTTGGCTTCGAAGCCCTCTTCTTGAAATTCGTTTTGAACTTCGAAAACTCAGGAATCTCTTCCGGTAGCGTACCATCCTTCCAGGCTTCAACAACTTTGTCCCAGACCTGCTGGTGCTCTGATCGGGATGCCACTTCAGCTCCCCAGGCACCCCAAGCCTTCAGCATACGCAACGTCTCTGGCTCAGACCGATCTCGAGTTACGGCATTGAGCTTCTTGCGACACTTCTGGGCCCCTTGCTTGTGCAACGGATGATGACAGATCATCTCAAACCCAATTGCAGCTCCATCCTTGAATACCTGTGTCACGTGGTTCAGACCAAAACGGAAGCCAGCATTTGGATTGCTGGCACGAGCTGCAGCAGGAGCTCTATCACCGTGTTCCTCCTCGGATGACGAGGAGGAAGAAGAACTTGAGCCATCGGATGAGCCAGACTTCGAGCTCGAACTCGAACTCGAACTGGAAGTAGAACCTGTGGTCTCGTCATGATCCGAGCCCTCTGCAGGTTGGTCCCTTTGCATCAAGCTGGTGTCAACGTCGGCTGGTGCAGGACTACGACTTGGGAGCTCGCGGGCTTCTTCTCCATGCTCTCTTGAAACCTCGGGAGAGGCTTCACGCTGCGAAGTTTTCTTTTTCGAAGCAGTACCACGACGAACCGCTTTTTCTGGGCAGACAAGAGAGCCTGCATCCATATCATCTTCAGCGAAATGTTGCATCTTCACAGATTTCTTGGGCTGATACTCCTCTCCATTCAGCAACGCAGTGTAGAGTGCAGCTGGCTTCCAGTGGGGTACCGGCACATCTCCTTTCAGCAGACAAAGCAGGTACGGTCGCACGACCGTGTCGGCATTTGGCTTGCTGTACCATACCTTGGATCTTGCATCGGCCGGATCGTAATCGCGATCCTGTTTGCTCTTGTTCTTGACGGTGTGCTCGAACCCCGCTCGGTCCAAGGCGACAATGAGCTCCCATGACGAGAGCTCAGCATGCTCCACACCTCCGGCCAGGGGCTGCGAGGCACTCAACACCAGCTACCTTCCATTAGCCTATCAGAATTCGGGTTGGGGATTAAATTGTTACTGTCGGGCTACTTCCATCACACCTTCCCGCAAATCCAGGATCGGACGCGGCTCGTGCAGGACACAGCAAACTTCGATGTTCTGCTTGCCCAGCGAAGTCAAGGTCCACAAGCCAGCCTGGGCCGGGGAAGGGTATGCACAAGTTTAAAGTCGAGCAATTATTGGGGGTTCTGTGATGTTGTGATTGTGGCTAAACTCGTGGCTCTGGCTGCTATTCCGTTTTGACAGGCCTGGTTCTCCTATCTCCAAAACTCCAAAACCTTAAACTCATGACGACAAGGCACGGCTGTCTGTGTTACCCAATCGAGATCCGCAAAAATCTTTAAGATTTCTTTTCGCTCAGACGCAAGACGCCAGAAAGTGCCACGAACCCCATCCGAACTCTCCATGAGCTCTTCCAGCAGGATGCCCGACGCCTCATGCTGATGCTTCGACCACCCGCTTAAGCTTGGCAAATCATTCGGCTTGATGATGTACTTCAGGCTTGTCCGCTTCTCCCACGTCCGCAGCTCCGCAAGCTGCTGACACTCCAAAGACTGAAGGCTGAGCACGAAGCTGCTAGTTGACATGCTCCTGGCCTCAGAAGCAGGCTTCTGCAACGCCACTGCTTGCACAGTCACTTGTTTCTTGCCAGCATCAATATCGTAGAGCTTGTGTGGAGCAACAATGACATCTCTGGAAGCGAAACCATGTTCACCGGGAACCTTGTTACGCTTCAGCTGCATCGGATTGTTTCGAACCACTTTGAAGAAAAGCAGGGATCGTGCATCGGCAGTAAAGTCATGTCGCGGCGACAAGGTCGCATCGAGTGCAACCTTGGATTGCCGCAATTTGGCATTCCCGGGCTCGAAAGTCAGCTTGTTGTCCAGCTTCAGAACGGCTGCCAAACTACGCATGGCTTTTTCAGGAAACGGGATAGACAGGAACTGCCCACCGTGCTCAGGTAGCACCTCGCTCAAACGTTGCAGCATGAGCTTCTGCAGAAGAGCCTCTGAGTCACCTGCCCGGGAGTTCACTAAAGCTTTGAGCGAGGCTGTCTTCGGATCGAAGGCAGCAATGCGGCCGACATCATCGTGGCCATCCATTGCACACTGCGACGCCGCAGAGTCGGATGCTGCATCGTCATCTTCAGAATTGTTCACGGGCCCAACACCGCACCCATCATCATCTTCGTCATCGCGGTCCTCATCGCCTGCATCATCTAATCCTGAGACTCCTGGGTCACCTGGGTCATCGGGCACCATAGGAAGATCGGGAACTGGGAGTGTGTACAACGTCATTGCATCAGCATGGTAAACAACCTGAGCCATGACTTTGTCGCGAAAAGCATTTCGCTTCTGTCGGATGTTGGCCAAAGCTGGATGGCTCTTCAGCCCAAGTGTAGACACGCAAAGCCAGTTGCTGAAAGCCACCGTGCCCCATCGTCCAGGAAAGATGTGACCCTTGAACTGCCGAAAATCCTCTCGAAATTGCATGCCCACAGGATCACCAAAACAACGTTCGAGCAATATATCCCTGGTCTCATTGCTGTGCAAGAATTTGCACAACCTCGAAGCCAGGTGAATAAACTCTTTGTAATTTGGCATCGCGCCTGCTATCCCGTTGATTGCATTGTCCAGAACATGATGAAGACCTGGAAAGCTTAGCATATCTGTGAAATCCAGGCACGGACTTGGCGGGACTTCCTCGAACACAGCTGCTGGAATGCCCGGGTCATGGCCTACCACGTCTTCTTCAGGATCAGAAACAGGATCTACAGGCAAGGGTTCAAGCAAGTCGCTCGGCTCAACACCTGCATCTGCAAGCAACACAGGCTGAATGACAGGACCCTCCAATTCATCACTTTCCACTGATTCGCCCAGTGGGACTGCATGCCTAACATCTGGTTCTTCGAGAATGAACTCACTCGACAAATCCTCTCTTGTCAAGACCGATTTGACCAATGATTGAACAGCTTGGTCGTCTGCATCTTCGAAATGTGGGCATAGTTCGCTCACGTTGACTCTGGCAACCCTTCCCAACATGTGCTCAACACCGAAGTCAGACGTCACAGACACGAACTCTCGGCTGCAACCCTCGAGACTTGCACCCGTGAGCTGTTCCAGCCGCAATGCATGACAAAGTGTATGAAATTTGTGGGATAAAGAAGTCGCTCCAAACCCCAAGATCACTGCTGGGCAAATGTGAGGACGCAGAACATCCTCGCATGTACGCATCAGGGCTGCTTCTTCTGCCTGTAAAGCTTCGTCCAAAGTTTTTGCAGCATCCAGCTTAACCATGGCCATGTCTCCAGCCTCGGTGTCAAGCCACATCGAACTCATCCTGGTTACAGCAGCAAAAACATTCCACAATCGTGCCTGGGGAATTGAAACGATCCGGATCATCTCATAATCTCGGGAGAACTGTGGAGAGGAATCCCACATAAGAAACCGCGATGTTCTTTCTCCCTTCATGAACTTCACCCAAGAGAACACACGCTGCAAAAGCATAAAGGCGACATCAAGGACAATGCGAAAACGACTGATCTCACCCTTATCGAAAAAACGCTGCTGTTCAAGATGAATCTTCGCAATCTCCAGCAAACTCTTCGGAAGAGTCAGCTCCAAAGCTCGGTTGATGACTTCCTTCGCACTACCGACATCCTTCAGAAGATCGCAGAGCAAAATAAAATCGATAAGACGATGAAACTTCTGAGATGTGGCAACAAGCGGAACTTCTAGGTTGTCGCTGGTGTTTTGAAGCTGCCTGATCCATTGCATGATCTCTGGAACGCTGTCCTCGGACACCTGGCCCAAATATGACCGCAAATCGTCTGCAAGGTTCCGACAGTCAGTCAAATTGAAATGCCTCTGACCATCCGGAAGAACCACTCTAGCCCCAGCTGCCTGCAACCCATGAAAAGCCCGTGTAAACGCATGCTCCATCGAATCGAGTTTCCATGCTGCCAAGTGCCATGGACCACGAATGAAAGGAGATGGCAAACACATATCCCGCCACCCCTGGTTCAAGAACAAGTACGCAATTCGAGGCGGAACCTTGAAGCACAGGCGCGGCCCTTCATCTAACCAATCGGGCCTCGGGTTTACATACAAAGCCAACTCCGCTGCAGAATCTTCAGAAATAATATCATACACTTTGCTCTTGGAATGGTTGATGAAGTGTCCTGCTGGCAGCGGCTCTGCGAAAAACACGCAATCCACCACCTTGAAATACCACAAGTCGCCTTCTGGCACCCCTCTGTCCCGCCAATGCAACCGCTGGGCATTCTGAACTTGTGTCAACACGCAAGAGGCATCATACACAAATGCAGCTTTGCAGGTGATGGCTCCAAGCACATGCTGCGCAAGCATGTCCGCTGAAGCAAAGTCTTCATCAGATGTAAGCCAGCTGCTCAAAATCCGCTTGTTTACCTTCAAAGACGCATAGTGCACTCTGCCGTTCTGTTTTGTTTTCGTTTCAGACGGCCCTGCGCAGAGCCAAGCAATGAAATCCATGGCAAAACGACATCTGCATCCTATGTCTATACTTGTACTCATGATGTCCGAACAAACCATGGGAGTATTTTTGCATCTACACTGTACGGTGTGCATGTGTCTAATCCCTGAGCCCTACCCCTGGTACTCCGTAGCTTCAACAAACCCTAAACCCGAAACGCATTTGAATCTACAGCTTTCAGCTGCTCAGCCAGTTCGATCGCGCCGGCTTGCAAATGCGGCTGTAAAACAAGATCGAATGTCGACTCTATTGTTGACATCGACGGGGTTCTCTAAAAATGATTCCTACAATCAGGCTGTGTATTTATTTTTGCCGAACACCCCCCAAACACTGGTAGGGCCCACAAACCATGGAAGAAAGGCTGCTGCACCAACTTAACACCTCGAACCACCTCCACATCTGTTCCACCAGTCGTTCCCATCGTGATTGTCCACCCGGAGGGAGCTGAAAGAGACCCACAACATCCCCTGTCTGATCCGGCAACTCTCGAGGTCGTGCTTCAGCTCTCCATGGTTCACGGCCACGACGGTGCGGAGTGCGTGACCGAGATTGCCGGTCACGTTCTTGACATTCGCGTTGCAATTTCTCCGCCGAGGTAGTGACAGCTGGGAATCCATGTGCTGCCAGGGTTGCTTCGAACTCCATGTTGGCCATCGCCACCGGGCAGTGGTCATGAAGCCATCGGCGCCGTATTTGTTGCAGAGACCAGTCAGACATCTCCTCAATCTCGTTACGAGTGGGGTTGCCCATCCTGGCAATGATCACATCACCACGAACCCTTTGGTATCCCCGAAGTCTTCGCTCCATTTCGCCCCTGATTTCACCGACCTCCTCAACAAACCTTCTATCATAGTGCCTCAAGAAGGCGGTGTCCATCACCAGGAGGTACTCCGAAACTTCCATTCCCCTGTCCACCATGAGCTCCGTTCGCTCCATCATGTCATCAAACCAGTACGGGACCCGCTGCTCCATCCACGGCCCATCCACTGAAGCCCCGTGGCGGACCGAAGCTGCCATGGTGACAACGACAGTCATCGAGAGCATACTGATCCCATCCGAGGCTTCATCCTCCAAGACCGCGTCATCGAGCTCCTCAGACCGGTTGGCCTGTTCTGCAGGCGGCCCCCGCGCGTCAGGATCCTGAGTTCCATGCGGCCCCCAAGTGCCTTGTTCCGTGTTTACCCACGCTGCATGGAAGATGCCGTAGGGGAAGTCGGTGCTCGGCGGACCTGGTTGAGGGAGCATGGCGAGGATGCGGTCGTCGGTTTCCAGATGTTCAATCCCTCTCACCAGTCCCAGCTGATGCATTCGACAGGTGGCAGCATAGTCCTGTGCCGCAGCGAGCTCCACATCACGTGCCCACCGAATCTCCTCAGCTGTAAGTGGCGATGTGTAGAGGTGCCACTGAAGTCGGCTCCGGAAGAGGTCACGAAGGGGGCGGAGATAGATTTTGCACCACCGCAGGTAGGGCTCGCTGTCCCGATGTTGAATCCTGCGCAAGACAGCCAGCCACACGGGTTCAAGCCCCGAACCTGCCTGCCGCAGTTGTTGCAACCTGGCAGACGCAGAAACAAACCACGACGCATCTTCACAGATCACGTTGTGCTTCCGGTGGGTCGGGTAAGTCGGGTCCTCGGCGGGGTCGTGCTCGCGCCGATCGGGATGGGGTTCAGCCGAATCGTGGTGAGGTTGCCGTGATGAAGATGCCGAACTCGCGCTGGTTAAGCCAAAGTGTTCGATCCGTGAAGTAGGGTCATCGAATTCAGTCATGCCTCCAGATATCGTCATTGTCACATCCGGAGTGGTGGAAGTCAGGCCGGGGCGATGACACTGATGTGCGTCGTCCCAGCCCTCGCGGGTCGTCACGACCTCTGCGGTGTTGTCCTCCCGAGGAAAGTTCGTCATCGGCGGGTCTCCATACGGAGGGGCGCCGGAAATCACGGCCGCAAGGGCCACCACATGGAACATGGAGTTACGGACAGCCATAGCAGGTGCTAGGCGGCGCGAGAGTTACTCAGAGCAGCTCAATCGCTGGCATCAGGAGATCAAGCCTTCACAAAGCAAGCAAACTGCCCTACAAGCAACTGTCGAAGACACTGTACAACCCTCAGCCCTGGAAGAAGATTTCATCTTTCGTGTACCTCTTCTGCACCTCTCAGAGGCGGGAAGGGGGCGGGCGGGGTAAAGCAAGACTCCACGTCCACAAAAGGTAGTTTCGCGTAGGTGGGTAAAAACCAACAAAAGGGTTTGCAACAGAGCGCTGCACACAAACTCGGATCCCTCTCACTTCTACTCGTCCCTCAGAGCCAGTTGCCTACCAGACGACCACGGAACGTCCATAGCCCTCACCCATGCATCCTCTCTCTGTTTCCATGCCTGTCTGTTGTGGGCGAGCAAACGCCAAGGCGGACCAGCCACTGCATCCATGGACTGTTCGAGCACCGTAAGTCTGGCGTAGTGGTGACCCTTGTGCCGGATTCCGCGTCCAGGGGGAAGGGATTTTTGATGCTCCCACCAGGGGAGGGTCCTGAAATGTTCGAAGTAGCAACTAATCGGGGGTCGTGGCGACATGACCGTGCGGACTCTATGCCCTGCGAAACTCCACCATCTACGCAGCCACGTGGTCGACCACCGTTCAAGCCCGGCGGCATGTAGAGCAGCCCTAGCTCCCCTGAAGGCCCTCTGCCGAAAGCCATCCCACGTCTCCTCCCTGGTTTTGGCGAACCGGAGCAACCACACCATCAACTGTAGCTGCGTGGAGTTGAGGGCAGTCATGGTGGCCTTATCCGGTGGAACCGAACAGATGAACCATAGTGCCGTCCCGCCAAGTATCCTCTCCATAACCCTGGCCCTTTGCTTCATGTTCCCTCTAGCCCGGAATATGTGGCGCAACTCCCAGAATTTGGCCCGAGCCCTGGTAGTAGCCGGAGAGACCAGCTCGTATGTGGAGATACCAACCCTGAGAGTGAGCCCCATGACCTCCAAAGTGGGTGCCGCGCGGATCTTAACCCCATTGAGAAGTATAGCATGCTCCCCCTCCACATTGGGCGTGGCATAAAGCTGACACTTACCTGCATTCATCCTGAGCCCGTACTTGGCAAACTCGACGGACAGTTGCTGAGCACGACCCTGAACTACTGAGGTAAGACCGTTCCATAACATGCCATCGTCCATATAGAGCATTTCCTCCGGTGGGAGGTCCGGATAAAGAGGAGTCAGATTGCGCCACCCGTGCAGGTCCACGGTGTCCATCAGTGCCAGTTCGGCGATGTAGGCAAACAAGACAGGAGATTCAACCGCCCCCTGCTTTATCCCCCTGCCCATTGGAATGCACGATGAGCCCCATGGTGACTGCAAGATGCCCGTGGTTCCCCGAAGGAGGCCCTTCCAACAATTCAACTCTGCCCCCTGCCCGATCTTGGCCTCCAGCTTCTCCAAGAGCTTCCTCCGATCCAAGCTGTCAAAAGCTTTTTCCAGATCTAGCTTGAAAACCACCAACGGATTGCCCCATTCACGTGCGAGTTCAAACAGCCTGATAATGGAATAGAGGAAATCTGAGGTTTGTCGCCCTGGCCCCGAGCATTGAGCATAGGACTGTGGAGAGATCATCGGAAGCGCACGGTTTAGCAGCAGCCTGCTGAAAAGTTTGGACACTGCCGAACCCATAGCAATAGGCCGAAGTTCCCGCGCAGTTTTGGGCATGCGAACCTTGGGGAGCAAGACGAGGATGGGCTCATTCCAACGCTTGGGAATTTGACCGGTAACCAGAATTCTGTTATACCACTCCAAGAGGTGTGCAGGGCCACCCTCGACTTCCATGATCCCCTGGATGAGTTCAGTCGACGTCTGATCCGCTCCCACGGCCTTTCCCCGCTTGAGGTGTTGAACCCCGACCCTGAGCTCTTCCATGCTGAATGCCCGGACGTCCCCAACCCACGCCTTCGGTTCCTCGGACACTCCCTCGCCAGCATACACTGCCGCAAGGTGCCGATGCACCACCTCGTGGGGGTCCCCGGCCTGGTTCTCTGCAAAGCTAATGTCCCACCCTGCGTGGCGTCGAGGCTTGAGACCCTTAAGCAGCTTCCAATCACCCTGACTGGCACGCTGTAGGCGTTCCCACTCCCACTGTTTACGTGCTTCCTTCCGGAGTTTCAGGGCTGCTTTCCATGATGCTGCTGTTCCTGCCCGCTTGGCCTCCCTGAAGGCTTTGCGAACGGCGTCCGGATCCTTATAACCATGACCAGGGGCGGGCTTGGTGCAAGTCCGTGCCAACCCTTCCATCACGTCCTGGTTCATTTCGGAGATCTGGTCTATCCCTCCGGTCCAAACCCTAGGCTGTGTCTCATGCCTATTGTGTGTACGCTTGGCATCCAACACAAGGCACCCCTCGCAAAGTTCATGATCCGTGCCCACCTGGAGATAGGAGTCAACATGGATGTGCCAGTACTTCACCCTGAGGTTGCTTGCTGCCATGATGTCAATACACTGACCCTCTTTGTTGTCCTGCCTTGGTCTGCTTGTTGGCGTGACGAGCTGGGTATCCGACGGGCACAGAAGATGCAGCCCCCTTTCCGTTAGCACCTTGTGGAGGATGTTCCTTAGCAATTTCCGAGACCTCCCCGGACGACGGCTGCGACCAACCGAAAGGAGTGTTGACATCCCCTTGAAAGACCACACGATGGGCATTTCGAGGCAAAGCGTCAAAGTGGTTGTGGACCTCATCCTCGTACCTTGCCACCGTAACCCCAGGCGAGAAGTGTGCTGTGCCAAGCCAGAGTTCAATCGCGCGTTCTAGATGTTTGAGCTTAAACCACGTGCCCCTGTTTGTTGAGAACTTGCGAAGAACACACCACGCTCCTGCATCATACCAGACCCCTGACCCTCTCCACTGTTGTTCTGCACGGTGTGTCACGATCTTTCTGCCAGCAAGCTCTTGATGATTCCAGCCCTGACGCTCTCTGGGTACTTCCTGGAGCAAGACGATATCATCTTTTCCGAGCGCTCTGCAGCTGGACTCCCTGACTGCCTTTAGCAGCAGAGCAAGGTCTGCACCGCCAACATTCCAACCCCATACCGAGACTGCGTAGCCGCCATCTCGAGAGACGGCACCTCCCCGCAGCATGTCAGGGCCCGAAGAAGGCAACGAGCATCCATCCACAGCAGCCTCAGACGAATATGCCATCTCAGGAATCACATCTTGTCAGAAACGGTGTTCCTCAAGAACCCTCTGCACCTCGGGCAACTGAGCCTCAACCCACTTCGAAAGAGTCCTCTCGTCGATCCAGGCCTTGCCCGCCCGCGTCTCCACAACCCTGACATGGTGTACCTCTGGTGGTGGGTCGCCCATACCGGAAAGCTGATCGTCCTTCACCCAGCACTTGCCTGAGCCATACTCCGCATCCAGGTCTTGCATGCGAGGCACATGTAGGCGCTGTACCACCTTGCGCACGGCCGAAACGACCGCAGCTTTCCCGCGCTCCTCAGGCGTTTTGCTGAACGTGGCCCAAAGTGGCTTGGCAGCACCGGAGATGGTGACCTGACTCGCATTCACTGCCTGCACCACTTGCATCATTCGCCCCCTTGGCTCATCAGTGTCCTCCTGTGGGCGGCGTTTGAAGTTGCACAAAGCCACCGAACGCCGAGCTCCCGTACAGAAGGGCTGGGAGTCAAGGTACTGCCACAGACCCAAACCCGTAGCTGCTGTAGGAGAACTTGACGACGCGTCCCTTCTGACCACCCTCCGAAGACCAGCGTAGTTTTCCGGTCTGGTCCGCCCGAAGTCGGGGCCGCCGGTCGAGCTTCCACCTGTGAGAGTCGAGTCGTCAGCTCACGAAGTCGAGTGTCCATGTCGTCCATGCGTGTCCCCTGTGTATCCACCTTAGACTCAATGTGATCCAGCCGGGAGGCTTGCCTGTCTTCAAAGGCGCGGAACGATGTGGCCATCTGCATCTGTTGGGCCTGAAGTAGAGAGTGTGACTGCTCGGCTAAGAGCTGCCGAATGGAGTCCATGGTGAGCCCCACCTCCTGTTCCTGTCGGTGTCTCTTGGATGGGCTTTCATGATCTCCGACGTCAGTTCGACCCTTGCCCTGATCGCAGTCCAAGTCAAGGTCCGGTCCATCGGGGACCCCAGGGAGACCGATATGAAGCTTCTGCCCAGCCCCCGCAGCCATGCCGAAATCCCTAATCGCAACCAGGACCCCTTCCAAAAGGTGCAGGACGTACCCCGAGTCGCCGTACCACCTGTGCCGGATCGTGTAATCAAAGGCCTAGACCAGCAGCCGCTCGCCCCAGGAGCAGATGGCTGGAGACCGCCCTAAGCACAGCGGCACGAGCGAACGAACCTCGAGCCTTGAGCCAAAATGGCTTAAAAGGGATTTAGGGTTTAGGGGTTTAGGGTTTAGGGGTTTAGGGTTTAGAGTCCCTCTTACCTTTGGTGAATAGGGAATGGAGGAATGGGGTATAATTATAACTACTATTACTACCATTCTTCCATTCCCTACTCGGGAAGCCTACAGCTGGCATGTACCATTGGAGAAAGAAGTGAAGTCTGGTAGCAGACGGTTCGGGGATTATGCTTCATAAGACAACGAGGCAATACGTAGGCATCGTCGCGATTTCGTCATCACGGCTGCACCCTCTGAATCTCATTCAAGCCAGCAGCGGCCCGGAGATCTCCATCCGCAAGGCAATGCTGTTTGTGAGTCAAGTACAAGTGCAAATGCGCAGCTAGATGGAATGTCCTTGCTCTGCTCCTCTGATGCTTGCGGGTTGCAGTCACATTTCACAATCAAAGAGATGTTCTCGCCGTCACCATCATACTGCAGAGTTCTTACAATGGTCGCCCGTCGATTGAAACGGACACCCAGCCGGTTGCCATACCGGTCAGAGACAGTAGCGCGGACCTTCAAGAACATGGTAGCGAGAGTACACCGCGGCATCATCATCAGCATCATCATCATCATCATCATCTTCAATTCGAGATGCACCGCTTCAAGATGCGGATTTCAAACGGATGTTAGAGCAAGCTGCTAGCTGCTGAGTTTGCCATCCTCACTGGCTCCCAAACCTTGGCTGCGTGCGAAGAGTCTCTTCATGTATTGAGGTTTGGGGCTATATGGCTGTGCTTCAAAAGTATTGACTCTTGTTAAATTCGGTGTCAAGCTTTGAGGGCTCGCAGCAGGAAGTTGCCATGATTACTGGAGCCGGTCATGTTTGGCTTGTCTCAAGGACTGGTTGATTGTCGGCTCTTCGAACTGGGATCTAAACCCGAAACCCGAAACTCTAAGACAGCTCAGGGATCCACTTCCGGGGTGTTGTCGACAAGCCGCAGCGACTGAACCTCTTCAACCTAGTCCAGTAAGTAATACATCGAGAAAGAATGGAAACGCCTGTCAAACATTACGAAGACACCTAACATAACGGGTATTACGATGAACCTGCTGAACCCACCGCCAGCACCACGAATGCAACCTCGCCCATCACAAGCATCATCAAATCCAATATCGTGTCCGTCGTCGCTGTCGACATCGTCCACCATCATGGTCATCGTCGCCTTCACAACCGCCATCATGGTTATGACCCTATTCTCCTCCTCGCCTCCTCCGCCCCCTGGTCCTCCTTCGTTTCTTTGCTGATCGTACCTACAGCTTTCCTCTTTGCCGCTGCCTTCGTGAGTGCAAGAGACAACTTCGCTGGAACTATTAGCATCATCGCCGTCATCAAGATCACCGCCGGTACCGTCCTTGCGCGGCAAGGCTCTTCTGCTTGCCGCGGCAGCGCGAAGGCCAGCAAGGCCCGGAAGTCCCTGCCTTCAGCCCGCTGTGAGCATGGTGGTGCGGTGCGGAGAATGAGAAGGACGGCGAGAAGAACATCGGGTATGGTATGAGGATGTTGATGGCGATTTGATATGGGAGTTTCCGAAAATTAGAGGTACCTTACCTTGGGGTCCTTCTACTACGGATCCTACTATTTAGGGTGCTATATTAGGGTCCCCTATTTTCGGAAACTCCCATATAATGGGGCAGCTTCGGGCTTCGAACCGTTGCCTTAAGTTCAGATCCACTGGACCACCGGCCAACTGAGCAAGGGACAGTCCAGAAGATTTGTTTGGGGCGATGTTTGGAAGAGCCGGGAGAATGAGCCAGGTGGTCGAAGTACTCTAAACCCTTTGTCGGTATGGGGTTGAGTACCCTACAATATTACTTGCAGCCCTTGTGTAGGATCTCTAAAAAGCGAACCATAGAGCAACGCTTACAACACACCGCTCAGGAACGCTTATAGGTAGTTGGTTACACGCGCACCAGGCGCCACGATATATCGTGCCTTCCATTAGGGGGGAGGGGGGGAGGGGGGGGAGGGGGGGGGGTTAAGAACGACCTCTGGCCTCGTATGCATCTACAGACCAAGATTTCAAGTTTCTGGTATGTCAGCTGCTCACAGAGCGACAAGGCATCGGTCAAGCGTCTGAGATATGTTTTGCGAATTTCTGCTCCAGACCTGTAGCTGGGTCACCCCAGGCCTCAACCCTAGGTACAGGGCTTTCTGTGGTCCTTCAGGTTCCGGTGCGACTTTGGCGTGCAGGTTGCGAGTCTTTCGGGTTCAGAGTGTCTAAGACAAGAGAAAACCACACCCCAAAAACAGCATTTCCTGGTGTAAATTAGCTGATTTATCAATAAAAAAGAATAGTTGGGGGCTCCTGATAATAACTTGAATTTACACCAAAATCATACCAAAACCCAGGAAATAAGCACATTCAGACCCTGCAACGTAACAGGGCGCCTCACGCGCGTGTGACCTAGTTCTCTAAATTTTTGGGTCCTTATTATAAGAGTTACATATATCGGGGACCCGAAAAGGGACCCTAATTTAGAGAACTACCCTCGTAGTAGTATTGTGTCACCCGGCCTGGATAATCCATCGCAGCGGGCAACTCTTCAGGCGTCAAGGCCGCCACCAGGGACCCTCCGAGCTCATCCTCTTCTCCGCAAGGGGCTTTTGACCGGGGATTTGGGGCTTTAGGGGTCTAGGAATTTAAAGTTTGGGATGTACGACATGGGGATTAACGGGGGTTTAGGGTTTTAGGAATTTTCATGGAGATGTGAAGCATGAAGTTTCGAGGGAACTCTTTATCTACGACTTGGGTCTTGGTCGCGTGGTCGCGGAGGAATGCGAATGAGTGGTTCATGGATGACACTTGACATGCGAGGGCTCCCCTCCAAGTTCATCTCTTCGAGAAGCAGCCTTTTAGGGGTCCGTGCAAGCAGGATCCTACTGTTTCATGTAATTATGGGGCTCTGAAGCTCTCATTTTCCTGTCGGGCATTATCAGATGCGACCAGCTCGAGCACAGAGCAGAGAGCACAGCACTCGGGGCCAAGTGGATATCCACATAAATTCAATGATAGGTGGCAGCTGCAAATCCTCGATTCCTCGATGGCTGCGAAACTCACAGCATCTTGTCCGTCGTCTGCGCGTGGGTGTTATGAAGTCGACCACACTAACTACATCGAGGATTTACTGCTAACCCGATGGCGTACGGCGACTGCTCTTTCGAATTTAATGCAATCAACGAGTGGGCTATGAAGGTCTGTGTTGGTAGGCTCCGGCACCTCAGTGAACCCGAGCCGCTTGAAGAAGCGCTGGGCATTCACATTCTGGCGCAGGCAGCGGGACCCGACTTTCGCGGTTGCGAAGCCTTTCCTTGGTTCCGCTTAGTAGCAAGGAAAGACGACAGACTGAAAACATCGGGAAACCCCAACCAAAACCAGTATAAAAGGATCCCTAACGCCTTCTAAACCCTTTTAGAGACCCCATGATACTCCTCAACAAACCCCTAACAGGGGAGGAATGATGCTTCTAGAAACCCTGGAGCAAAAACCAAACATTGGGAGGCCCTCATAAACAAAAGCGCGCAACACAGGGGCCCTAAGAATCAGAATAGGGCGTAATGATCGTATAACTATGTTGGAATTATGCTGGTAAATTCGCTAGGATCCTATGAAATTGGCATACTATACTGAGCGATGTAGGCATACATAAGTGGATAATACGAATATTGCTAATCATCAATTAGCTGAGGTATTGCAATAAGCCCAGAAGACACGAAGAAACTATACCGACGGCCTTAGACCCTTACCCCTATAGCCCTAAACCCGAAGCCCAAAACCCTAAACTCCAAACCCAAAAATTCAAAAATCTTAAACCCCCAAAACCCTATAGACCACCCAAAAAGCCCGAAACCCAAAAGCCCTACCCCAAATGCCCTAAACCCAAAAGAAGCCCTACTATAGGGCCGCAAATAATTACCAATACTGTTTGGGGGTTCCTCCTTATAATTATAGTGCAATGGGCCCCAAACCCTATTCTAATTATTGAGGCCCCTGTATCATACTACCCTTACGGTATCCCTTATAGTAACCCTTTAAGGATCCCAATTACAGGGAAAACCCTACTCTAATTATTGAGGCCCCTACATTACGCCGAACTCTGCCAAAGCTTCTTGGCTTAATATGAACCCAATGATGGGAACCCTAATCCCTAGGCTAAAACCCCTTTTGGCCTCCTATGATACCCTTATAGATCCCTTTAAAGGAACCCCTATAGATCCCTTTAAAGGAACTCTCTAAAACCCCGTTTGGCCTCCTCTGAAACCCCTTATTATAACTATAGTATAATGGGCCCTAAAACCCTATTCTAATTATTGAGGCCCCTATATCAAACTACCCTTACAGTATCCCTTATAGTAACCCTTAAGGGATCCCTTTTAAAGGGAAAACCCTACCCCAAGAATCTTATACCCCCCTTTTGGCCTCCTCTGAAACTCTGCCAAAGCCTCTTGGCGGCCTGAAGCTCCGCGGCCTGGATCATCAGTCGCGCTACGCCCTGGAGCTCATGGCCGGCCTCTTAGGGTGTCCTTTAAGGGTTTAGGGGTTTAGGGGTACTTAGAGGGGTTAGGGGTTTAGGGTTTAGGATTTAGGGTTTAGGGTTTACGATCTAGGGGTTTAGGGGTTGGGCCTCTTAGGGTGATCTTTAAGGGTTTAGGGGTTAGGGGTACTTGGGGGTTTAGGGTTTAGGGTGCTTAGGGGGTTTAGGGGTTAGGCCTCTCAGGGTCCTTTAAGGGTTTAGGGTTTTAGAGGTAGGGGTTTAGGGGCTTAGGGGTTTAGGGGGTTTACGCGTTTAGGGGTTTAGGGGCTTAGCGGTTTAGGGGTTTAAGGGTTTGAGGTTTAAGGGTTTAGGGGTTTAGGGTTTCAGGTTTAGGAGATGCGGGCCTTCTAGTAATAAGAAGGAACCCGAAGGCATAATGTTGGTAACGCATAAACTTCTGGTAGCTACGGTTGGGATGTAGGGTTTAAGGGCAAAAATCAAAATTCGCTCTATTTTGGTTCGTCCTTTCCGGCAACCTTTTAACAGCCTTTCCAGCAGCCCTTGAAGGAAGTCACAAAATCAAAAAACATGCTCGTTGTCCCAGGGGTTCTTGGATGTGCACGGGGTTTCGGAATTGGGTATTCAGGTTGTGATGACCGTATTCATGTGATATCCTGCTCTGCAGCAACAGCAAGCAAATACGCGTGTCTGAATCACCGGCCATTAACGATACAAGAAAAACAGAAAGCAGCGCAGTGTTCTGCCAACGGAAAGAAGTGAAGCCCAGCCTGTACTTTCAGTGTCTCAATGTACAGCTCCGCAAAGGGCCTCTGGCTTCGAAATGCTTTCAGGTTGGGGGGTACCAGGGTCTTGAAGATCTGCAGCAGAGGTTTTTGGGTGAGGGTTTCATGATCGAGTTTAGGGTGCCGGAGCGTGGGAATTTAGGCTCAATTAAATTTAAGGGCTCCGCTTCGAGATGAAACGAAAAGCGTTTAGTGACAGTGCAGTCAGTACTCTAAAGTCGCAGGCCTTTTGGAAGCACGAGAGAAGCCGACGATGTGCCCAGAAGCTCGGCAAACTGCAGCCACGATCGTCTCACTGTCTTGAGATGTTGACTGCACGACCCGGCGTATTCTGTTGGTGGCAACAGATTCAGTCGAATGAGTGCCCAGTGTATCTGCCCAATGCTCCGGAGGCATGGCATGTACAAAAAGCTCGCTTTGAAAGAGTTTGGCCTGGTCAAGGACCAACCCTTTCTCGAGAAGCCGCACCTTTCGCAACTCTGGATCTTTGAGAGGTACGAAAACGGCGTGGGTCTCGTTCTCGACGATGACTCTGCCTTCCAGGTGTCTCACAATGGGCTCCCCCGCCGCAGAGCATTTCGGACGCTTTGCAGCCCACTCCCCGAGGGTCTCAAGGTCGCATGCCAGGGAGTCTCGAAGACTTCGCTTCCGGGTGCCACTGTCGAAGGGTCTTGCCCACTGCCCCTTTCTCCCTTGAAGGAGGCCAAGGACGTGCTCAGAGGCAAACTGGTAGACTGCTATACCTTTCGAGTTCACATAACCCAATGAGGCTCCCTGCCTCAGCAAAGTGACGGATGCATCGATCTCTCCAGCTTTCAGGGCGCAAGCCAGTGGAGTCAGGCCAGAGTCATCCTCATCGTCCACCGACATGCCGACTCGGGTCACCAAGAACGCGCAAAGCCTGTTGAACCCACAAGCATCGGGTTGACATAATGGTTCCAAAAATGGGTGCTATCAGATATCAGCCCTAAACCCCTAAACCCTAAACCCCTAAACCCTAAACCCCTAAACCCTAAACCCCTAAACCCTAAACCCGATGAAGACTCCAAAGAGCTGCTTGAATTTTTTACCTCCAAGAAGCGAGGCGTGGCCTGATTCTGCCGCGTAGAAAAGCGGAGTCCTCCCCTTCTTATCACCTTACCGTTGTTTAGCAGGGAATGGAGGGGGCCTTATAAAGGGATCTACAAGGATTACTATAAGGGATCTGTAAGGGTACTATAATATAGGGGGCTTAATAATCCTGTATCTTACCGTTGGTTAGTAGGGAATGGAGGAATGGGGTACGATTCGGTACGGTTATAACTACTATTACTACCATTCTTTCATTCCCTACTAACCAGCGGTAAGTCACTGCCTCGCACGTTCACATGCCTGGCAATCAATCGGCGGCAAAGAACCTTAGTGCTCTTTTCTGAAGGCACCAGAATTAAGGGAAGTCTTACGAAAACCACAAGACCTTCCTCTGCAGTGTATTTATCCTCAATCCTTAGCCCTAAGGCTCCAAGGACTCGTACTTTAAGGCTTTAGGGCCCCAAAACCATACTGTACAACAAGGGAGCCTCGGGGCAAAAGAGCCCTAAACCCTAAACCCGAAACCCTTCAAGCATCGCACCTCTGCTCCCCCGAGGTTTGCATTTCGCGCCGCGGCAGCGAAAAGCAAGGTCCATCCATTCATCGTCAAGCGAATTTGGGCCACCTCGTAGGGCTTGCTGTAAGGGTCTTGTACAGCTTGTGGAAGAGGTTGCTATAAATGTAATGTTCGAGGGCTTTTCAAAACTCTCTTCTGTAAGGGTCTTGCACAGCTTTTGGAAGAGGTTGCCATAAGGGTGATGCCAGCGGCTTAAAACATAGTGTTCTAACCGTTGCAGGGTCACTTGGAGCTCAATTCTTCGGGAGTTTACGATCTAAGGCTTAAGGGCTTTATGTGTCTGCCAATCTTTATCGCAAGCTCTTTCTCTACTCTGCATATACATATATAACCGACATACACATGTGTAATTACTCCAATATATACATTTACATGCACATGTATCTGTACATGTACTGTACACGTACATGTACATATGGATGTATGCATGTATGTATGTATGTATGCATGAATGTATATATATATACACATATTTTCTTAGGGGCGCATCTAATGCTTCTTCTAAGTAGGCTTCTTCGCAGCCGGGGCACCATTAAAGGAGCTAAGTAAATCCTGGTAAAATCCTTCGCTGAACATGTGATAAACTGGGTCCCCAGGTGGCTCAAGCATGCCAAGCTTTTTGCAGCCTTTTCTAGCCTTGCCTAGCTTTTCAATGGAATTCCTTAGCCGGGCCCCCGGCCCAAAATCAGGAAAAATCTTGCTTTTTCAAGCTTTTTCTAGCTTTTTCTAGTGGATTGGAAAACGCACTGCATGCCACATAATTCCAGGAAAAATCCACCGCTCAACTAACTGTCAACCCTAAAGCACCAAACAGAACCTTCAATCATACATCCGAAATCCGCCACCCTGAGCCCTTTATCTTCATCCCAAAACCCTCGCCACTATCTCCAAACCCTGAACTCCTGAACCCAAAGCCACAGGTCCAATCGAGACGTCATTGCAGGAAATGATTTGTCTTTTTTAGCTATTTATAGCTTTTTATAGCTTTTCTTAGCCTTTACAAGCTTTGCCTATGTTTTTGACATGTTCCATGGTTTTCTTGTACTTTTCCTGCAATGCTGAAGCGGCCCACTTTGAAGCGACATGTGATGTGCTCCTATGATATTTATGCGCAGGTATACATGTGTTTGAGTGTGTGAACATACGTATCATAAGTACATGTATCTGTACATGGATATGTATATGTATATGTATATGCTCGCATGTACATGTACATGTATGTGCATGTATACTGTGTATATGTAAGATGTCTACGTTTATGCATGCCAATGTAACTATGCACATATGTGTACATGTATTGAAGGATGTATGACAGAATGTGGTCTGGTCTGGTCGAATCTAAAATGGTATGGTCTCGCATGTTAGGGTGTTGCGTTACATGCGCGGCAATTCAAGGTCGGTGCGGGCTCTATAAGCCAGTGTTTAGATTCGATTTCTTTAAGGAGTTAGGGTTCAGAGAATTTCGGGCCCCTACGCCTCTCCTAATCCTAAGACCGGCATCCCTTTAGTTTTCCAAAAGCTGCCTCAACGGCTTCCTTGGCAACGTCAAGATCTCCATGCTGCACTGCCATGAAAAAGTCTTCCTTTGTCTGCAGGATGGCCGCTGCCATTGAAAGAGTCGGTCTGACCGCCTCAGGCCCAGCCGACATGGGTCTACATCATGCCTACACGCGCTACAGCACAGGGCACTTGAACCGGCCAAGTTTCTTGCACCGAAACCTTTGGATATGGATACTTTTGGCATTGCACGCATACATACATACATACATACATACTATCAAGAAATGTACATCACATATACCAACCATATGAGAGGATATATATATATATATATATATATTTATGTATACACATGTATGTATGTATGTATGTATGTATGTATATGTATGTATGTGTATATATATATACATATATATATACATATATATATATATATATATATATATATATATATATATATATATGTATATATATATATATGTATGCATGTACGCCTGTGTATGTATATGTAACATGCACAATCACTAGAGCATGAGGGCACATCATCACAAGCTTCAAGAGTGCCAGTTGACCGTACACTTTTTGGGCCCGCAGCTGCGGTCATGCTTTGCAGACATGCGAGAAGTGTACCATCGGACCGAAGATCCCCTCACACATGGGAGCCGAGGCAAAACTCGCTAGCAGCCTGAGGCTAGACACGAGCCTTGCGAAACAAGAACGGGTCCTTCATCGCCGTCTGCAGTCTCTTCAGGCCTGTGTCTTTGCATCAGTCGGGATGGGAAGTTCAGTAAAAAACAGTTAGAGGAATGCATACCTTTTTCGTGGGCTTTGGCACCACATACCCACCAGAAACCTTGAACTTTACGCCCTGAAGCCTAACCTTAACCTCGCGAGCTGAGATGGTACCTCTGAGCCAGCCTCGCGACCCTTCAGCCCTAAACCCTAAGCCCAACAAAAGCCTCTCGGCTCTGCACCTCCCAGCGGTGAGGCTGGTTTCGCTGAGCAGAGCCATGGATATCTTTCGGTGCCTCTCTGCTGCCCCGACGGTGGCGGATAAACTGGACCAGCTGTGCAGCCGTGGGTATGTGATTACACAACAATTGCATGCCCTCCATGACGGCGAGAAGTTCAATGTATGCTTGAAGGTGGTGCAAATGGATACCACCCACCATGGGCTTGCAGCAGTGGTGAATCTGAAACTCCCGAACACTTTTGCAGAAGGGCCGCTTTACCGTGGGCCGCAACTTACAAACGAGGAGATCCAGATCGACAGTTCTGCTGTGAAGTTTCGCTTGCTACCTCAGCAAGTGTACATGGTGGTTGGAGCAAAGATGCAGACTATGGACGACACCATCTACCTCAAGCTCCCTGGGTTTACAGAAGCTTCGGCCTGCATCCTGCTGCCTACTCGTGAAGACGCGGTGGTTGGAATTGCTGAGCTTTTCTGTGGAGGGATCAATGCATGGTCAAGAGCTGCTCGCCAACTGCCAGCTTACCCGGTGCTCCGAGTGGATCATTGTGGCTTGGCTATTGCCACAACTCTTATGAACGACCCCAAGGAGGTGCTCTTCAAGGAAGGAGTGGACCAGAAGACCTTCAGTGTCTTCTGGGGTGAGGTGCTGGACCTTCGGTGGACGGAGGCCCTTCACAACTCCAACATTGAGATCCTCTGTGCTTCCCCTCCCAGCCACACGTGGAATGGAAAGGGTCAGAAAGAAGGCTTCCAGGACTCCCTCAACACTGGAGGTTGGTGGCAATTGGCGATGATTGCCAGGATGACCCAGCGCAGAGCTCTCTTGGTGGAAACTTCGTTGGCCTTCTCGAACCACCAAGATGCCAAGACCTTCGACGACATGATGAGGTGGGCTGGCTACCAACCGGTCTGGAAAGGCAAGTTGGACTCGGAGTCCCTCACGGCAATGGACAAGCCCAAGGTTTTCATGGTCTACTGGAATTCTGCAGATCAGCCAAGTGCCTCCACACCCTTCCGGATGCTAAAGACGGGACCGAGGGCACCGGTGCCGTGTGAGGAGACCCTGTGGAGAAAGATGAAGCCTGAGCTCCTGCAGAAGCTGGTGGTCAAGAAAGAGTACATGGCCAAGGTCACTTCGAGGGAGCTTTTGCCTCCTTACCAGAAGCACCTGACAGGGGCCCCGGTCCATATTCGCTTGGTCAACCAGTTTGCCCCAATGCCTGCAGTACCAGCCAACTACCCGGACCTGCTGGATGTGCCGTGGCCAATCTTGATGAAGAGAGGAATGAACCTCCCTTTGATGGAGCAGGATGGTCAACTCCGGCTCCTCAGCAAGTGGGAAGTCGCGAAAGCAGCTGGGCTCCCGGGCGACCTCATCCTGCCGGACAAGGAGAACGATGCCATGCTCCTTTTGGCCCAGGCGCTCGTGCCCTCTCTGGCTCTCAAGGTCTTGGGCACGGCGATCGCGCACCGCCAAGAAATGGTGATGTCTGAGGACTCCTTACTCAGATACTTTGAGACAGGGTGCAAAACAATGAGGGCCGGATGGAGCAGGTTCCAGCTCCTCAAGCCTTTTTCCTATGAGACATGGGAGACCCTGCTTCTTGATGGTGCGACCGCTGAAGAAGGTCCAGATGGGAGCCTGAGAACCAAGATCACGGGGCTAAGGCTCCAGCTCAGAGCAATGCTTCCGGCGGATGGAGCTCGGCCTCCCCCCTTTCTACCTGAGTCTTGCCGCCCAGCCTATGAGGAGCTGATTGAGGAAGGGGAAGTGTTCCACGAGCACAGGATCTACCAGGTGCAAAATGGATATGTTGGCATGAACATCGACGAGGAGGCTTCCACTGCCAAGGTCCACAAGCAGATTGCAGACTTCCTTGGTGTCCCCCCCAACCTCCTGGCGGTCGCGAAGGTCAACTACAAGGTGCAAGAAATGAGACACTGGATTGTGGCCGGTGAGATCAACTCGCAACTTATTGACCAAGCTATTGTCCTGGTGGATACAGGCATCCCCCAGGCCCAATGGTTGCCAACTGAAACTGCAAGAGATGACTTGGCGAAAACCTACCAAGACTGCCACGCCTCCTACCCGGACTCAGTCGAGCTCAATGGATGCCAGGTCTTGCACTGGCCGATCTCCCTGGCCTGTGGAGACTACCTTCGGTTGAGATGGAATGGCTACTCAGACCATGAGGATTGGAAGGACCTCGACGTCTTCGACCACATGAATGCCAACGAGGACGACATCCCGCCACCTCCTCCTACACCACCAGCTGAGGACCCAGAAAGCAGTGAAGGTGGCCCAGCGAACGACCCAGAAGGTTCTGATACGGAACCCATGCCGGATACACCACCGAATCCTCCTCATGATCCTGCCCCGGACGCGGATGAACAGCCAGCGAGAGGTATGCCCTTCCAGGATGCTATGTCACCCCCGGCCCCGAAAAGGCCGAGGACAGACCTTGCAATGAAGCTGGGGAATGATGAGGCTATTGCCCCCACCATGCTCTACTACTCTGCCTCCCTGCCTGCGACTGTGGCCTCGGCCTTCTACATCAAGTTCCAGGGGCAGACCGTGGCTATTTCCAATGCTGACCAAAGGACCCTCCAGCAAGTGGTGCAGGATGAATGGGGAGTACAACAAGACATGATTTACTTCGTGATGCAGGGCAAGATTGTTGGCAATGCAACAGTTTGCGACCGAATCCCCGTCACGGCCACCGTTGAGGTTCGAGGAAGACTACGTGGTGGCACAGCAGCGGCCATCAAGAAGCTTCGAGGACTCCTACAAGCGAAAGGAGTACCAGCGGAGGCCCTGGATGCAAGAGTGGAGGAAGTGAGAGCCCACTTGGGGGACCGGGGCATCAAAGAAGCTTATGAGTCGTTCGACCCATGGACGAAGATCAAAGCTGGCTGCAACTTCAGATTGGTCAAGGAAGCAGAGAGCAAAGCTAAACCGCGCCAGAAGGAGGTACAAAAAGATGATGCCGACCCCATGCAAGCAAGTGATCCCTGGGCCGCCGCGATCAGAGAAAGACGCTCATGGAAGATCGAGCCCTCCTTCTTTCGACTACAAGATGGAGGAGTCCCACCCCTTTTGGAAAAGGCCACCCATGGATCCACTGGCATCGTCCTGGTGTCTGAAAAAGAAGCTGAAATCTTGGCCCAGCAGCAGGACACCATGTCCCCCAACGAGCTGGCCGTGATCGTCATTGCCTCCAACCTCAAGACCTCTGGAAGGTTCAAGCTCAAAGACTTGGAAGTTCCTTGCCGGAACGGTGACGACAACCGTGTCCTGGTTCGTGCACAACTGCTGAATCTGGGAGACAAGGAGATTTCTGTTGCTGGGGAGGACGCCAAGGTTACGATCGAGGAGCTGGATGGTGCTGTTTTGTCCTGTGAGATTATTCGCAAAGAAGCAGAGAACTGGGACGAACTGGTGGATGGTGTCGTCAAGTTCCTCAAGAAGCGTCTGGAATCACTGGACAATGCCCTTTTCTCTACATGGGGAAGAAGATTCTTTGCCAAAGGGAAGCCTGCCCAGGACCCCCGGTCTGCTGAGTCATGCTTCGTGATGCTCCGAATCAAGCGAGAGTTTCGAGATGCCATCCTCAAGGTGACCCACCCTGGCATCTATTTGGCTCCTCGTACAGAGATCGGCGCCCCTGACCACACGTTCAAGGTCATCTGGTTCCCTGACAAGACTGTGGAAGAACTGGGCATCCTCGCCAACTCTGAGCCGAAGGCCTTTGGTTTGGTCCGGAACAAGACTGGTGCTGGAATCCGGGTCAAAGCTGACGACTACATGCGGCTGAAACAGAGATGGCAACCAGCTTGGAAACCACAAGATGGGACACCATATGGGCTCAACGTCAAGGCCTATTATGAGATCCAGAACCTGCCGGTGTCATGCTCCAAGAATGAGGTCCAAAAGTTCTTGAACACTGTCAAATGGTCGGCCCTGGCCATTCGCCAGATCAAGCCCCGGGTGTGGTTGGTAGGTGCTGAACTTCCCCCACAGGCAACTATCCACATTGCTGAGCACGGGACCATCCTCATCACGGAGAGACAGGCCAAAGCCCAAGGCAAAGGAAAACAGCCAGCCCGGTCTATCAGAGACATGCCTTGGCTGCTGGCTGGTTCGTCCATGCCACCTGCAAGTGGCAAAGGAAGTGC